CACGAAAGGCCTGGTTCTGAAAAGGCAAAACAGCATAATTTGGGACTCACAGACTCGAGCACTGAATACCAGAGAACCACTTTGGCCCAGAGCTGATATATCCTCCAGTTCGATTGCGAGGGGTTGAAACAGTCGTGAGGTGACTACCCGAATTTTGCGAACAGAAATGTCAAAATTGTCCCAGAGATGATAGATTCATGATCATTAACCCAAATTCTTGCATGGCGTCCTCCATTTCTTGCCTGTTTGCAGGTTTACCTGCTGGATCCCATGACTTTCCCCCGATCTCTTTGGGCGTCCGTGCTGCAAATGCCGATGTCATCACAGGCACGAAGCAAGGAAGCCTTGGACGAGTCTATCTATAAATCACTACTGGTTCAACTTTTGTGGTTCATGGTTAAGGGCTTATTTGCTGACAGTTCGTAGTTCTGGTTTATTTAACGCTTCATGGTCAACATAAGGCTTGGAATAAACGCTGAATGATCTGGCGGATGCTTCATGGATCATAGTTCATGGTTGGTCGTTAACAGATCAAATTTGGTGGTGAACAGCAGATGCATTGCGCAAGTATCGGTCCTGCTGCTCATTGTCCCAGTCCTGACGGACAATCGCTCTGACAATTGTCCCCAGTGACTCTCTTTACATGTCTTTACTCTTTGGTCACTGCCTTTTCTCACCCACCGTGACATTTTGATGTAGTCCATCCCTTGCTCTTGGCCGTTGAAACTATCATCGGAAGAGGAAGTTAGGAAATTCGAAAGCTTGAAACAAGTACAACGACCTGATCAATATGCCCAACCCAGATCAGTCCTAGCAAGGCCAAAAGGCACAAAGCACGCACTCAGTTCTAAGTTTTAAGTCAGTCCAAATATGTCCAAATAAGTTAGTTACACTTGAGAAGATACGCCAGTCCTTCTGGGCAATGATATCAAGTTCAGCTTTGGTCTCAATCTGCAATGTGGCCTGGACGAGATCACTTCAGCTGACCTGATCAACATTACGAAAATGAATTTACATATACCTACAAGAAGGTTGGAGAAAGGACTCTGTCTTTTCTCTGCTGCTCAACACCCTGCATGGCACCCCAAGCAGCACCTTGAACAGCACCCCTGAACAGCAGCCTAAACAGCCCGCTGCGTGGCACCCCAAGCAGCACCTGCCTCCAAACTTGCCGCCGACACCTCAGACAGCACCCCGGACAGCACCCCGCCGAAAAGTTCGCCGCCTTGCGAGCTAATGCGATTCGAGTTTATGTTTCACAGGGACACGAATCAGTGCAAAGGCCCACAGCTCTTTGAGTGGTTCTAGCTCTTTTTTTTTGGATTCAGGATAAAAGCTTTAAACTCAACCGGGACAATGGCCTAGGAGTTATTTGGGCAGTGTGAGGATGCACCCTGGTCAGTGCAGACGCTCACCGAACGCCCTTGCTCTGGCAGTCCTAAAGATGCAAGGCTTTGCTGCGTTGACACTTGAAGGCTGGGATGTGCAAGAGGTCAGCGCAACTCGATGCTGACAGTTACAACTCACAAAGGTGTCAAGTGTTGGGTGGTTTATCAAACAAGGAATAGGCTTGGCTCGGACCTATCTCAAGAAAGTAAACCGATGTATATGAACTGAGGCTGTCAACCAGTTAAAAACCAAATCACCTAGCCCCCAGGTGAAATAGCGAGCGCAGCAACGCAAAGCTGCAAACCAGTTTTGACAACAGCTTGAGCCAAACGTCAAGGTGCCACGCAGGCAAAATGAGAGGTTCCGACATGGTAAGACAAACATGGAATGAATGAGCTATGCTATACACACTCTTAGGGTCGTTTTCTACGATATTTCATTTCTAAAATACATCCATTTCTTCAACCTCTTGACTAAGACTAAGAATGAAGAACTTGAGCACAATTTGCCTTCACATCCAATGCCACATCCACCACAACCCCAAAGTTCAACTGATTTTGCTAAACCCGAGCCTTCCTCAAAAATTGGAACCGTGATGAAGATCCGGCAATGGAACCAGCACAGCAGCTCCCACACGGGAACATCAAAGAAAGTAGGCTACATGTGACATCACAAGCAGATGCAGCTCGAAACAACCCATGGTTCTTTGCATAGGCCGCGAGTTCTTGCACCGCTTGCATCGAATGCGCACTTTTCTCCACTATCTCCGTCAGCCGAGAGGAGCCAAAATGCCTATGGCGACTACCTATGGACATCCTAACCATCACCATGCTTGCCATGTGCCCCAAAGTCAAGACGTGCCACGTACTTTAAGCCCGACGTTGAAACTTAGAAAAAATGACAGTTGCCCAGGTACTTCAACAAGCATCCTCAACTTTGCATAAGAAGTTTGTGTATATACACGTTCGCTGCCGATAGTCCGACACCGTTTGGGTTCTTGCTACGTTTCCACAAACTTGAAACATGCGAATTTTCCGGAGATGCAACACTCTGAACAATCGCAAGGAATGAACCACTTCCAAGACGCGAAAGATTCTGGCAGCTTAGAAACATAAGATGAATATCCCAAATTGCCTTCATACCTCTCAATCATGAGGGTCTCTTTCCAGAGCCAGCACATTGTTCGTGGTTCCCAGATTCTAAAATCTGCCATACACCAAGGCCCAAGACTTTGGAGGGCAGCGGGATGAATTCAGTTTTTGGTTTGCAAATGTAGTGTCTTGAAACCTATCTATAATCTATATATATATACGTATAATTCTACAGACTGGAATTCACTTTGCGGCACAAACGCGCAAATGCTATGTTGAGCGTTGACAACCTGAAGTGTGGAAAGCACGCCGCTAAAGTTCCAAGACTCTACGATACCCCAACTTGAGATGTTCTTTATCAAATCCCTCTTTCGCAAACTGATTTGTGCACTGGAAATCTCCAAGCCTTGCAGTCCTCGCTTCAGGCAGATCTGCGGAAGTGGACGCTAACCTCCGTGGGAAGTCGAGAAGCTTGTTGGATCTTGTTGGTACTTTGGGGATTTCAGAAAACCTTGCTGCAGTGCTCAATCGTGGAACAGACTCATTTAGGTCCAAGCGACTTGGAAAGCAACTTGGGTGAATCATGCTGGATACCAATGTGTGTATGGATGAATAGACTGGTTCTGATCAGACTTTGACCAAAATGAGGAAGCTTTTTGAGAACTTGCGTTGAGTCGGTTTCGGCGTCGTGGCCTTGTTCAGCGCAGGTCCCTTTAAGTTTCGATGGCCGGTCAGCGAGCCTCGCATCGAAGCAGGATTGGGTCATCACTCCACCCTCTCATGGGTATGTAGGGATTCAACCATCATAGCGGGATATCATGATATAAAATGATATAAATATCATGATGTGCGAAAACGGCTTTCACTCTTTTCTCCAAAGCCTATATGGGCTAGCGGTGCAGGGTTTGCGTAGCTGGCAACTCAGAGGCATGCTTTACAAGAACCAGCTATTTCACCTGAGGATTTCTTGCACCCTCCTTAAAGCGTGGCTCTAATCCCCTGATTTGTTGCCTGTATTGGGCTCAATTGTCTTTTCGGTCTATGTCGACCAAAACTTTGAAACATTTCGAGCACATCCTAAATTTCTTTACGTCACCGCTGTTGGCGAGAGTAGGGCATTCTTTGGTTGCATGGGCCCTCTCACCGTAGCGTGTGATCCAGACATGCTCGTGGTACGTCTTTTGACGACCCGGCTTTAAAATCCAGCAGCAAAATGCTACCGAACAGCCGCACAGGAACATCAGGTTGAGAACTAGGCTAATGACTAGCAAAAGCTCAAGTACAGTCAACCCGGTGTTACTTGGCAAGAACATGGGCGACATCACAGTCAGTGGGTTTTCCCCCATGTTTCTTGCTACGGTTCACAGCGCTCAGGTATTGTCTAATTGTCACTGAGCTGATACACGGCTGCCATTGTTTGAATTTCTTGTTCTTGTTGTTGCTTCCCTCCTGGGTCTCATCGTTGAGTGCTCCTATTGCCTTCATTTTGTGCTTTGTCACGTGTCTGTCCAAGCCTTCTTGTGTAAGGGTCTATCATACCTAACATCTCAATTGCTCGTTTCATTGCTTCTCCGGTTGGTAAGTGTTTTGTCATGACGTCTGATGGGTTCTTTTCGCCTTTCACCTTTCCTATGATCACCTGTTTCGTTTTGACCAATTCTTGTATGAACAAATGTGAAACTGCAATATGTCTCATCTTTCCAACTCCGATTCTTCTAGAAGCTTGTAATGCTGCACTGGAATCACACCAAATCCTAGGCGTGTCAACATCCATTCCAAAGTCTGTCTCTGCTAAGTGCTTGACGAAAAGTGTTGCTTTTGCACACTCTGTCAGAGATCTGATCTCTGCTTCTCCCGAGCTAGTGGCTGGGGTCCCCTGCTGTGTATGAGCTCCTGACTCAACAAGTGTTCCAGCAAGGTAAATTACCACGCCGCTCGTTGATTTTCGGGTTTTGCCATCACCTGCCCAGTCTGAGTCACAGTATGCTTGTAATGGCACTGACTTCGTCGTGACACCATCTGAAACCTTGGTGACGTGGCCATATTCCTGAGTTCCTTTCAAATACCTTCCCAAGACCTTCAAGTTCTGCATGTCACATTCCCTTGGTTCACGAATGTGTTTTGCTAGCTCTTTCACACTGTACTTTATGTCTGGTCGATCTTGAGACAAGTATATTGCACTTCCGACACAACTGGCGTATGTCTCTTTCTCGTTTTGAGATAACGCTTTGTCTTTCTGCAACTCAAGTTTTCTCCCTGGTACAGGACTCGGCTTCGCATTTTCCAATCCAAGCATCTGAAGAATTGTTTTGATGTGTTTTGAGTTTGGTTTTGTCACAACCGCTTCCTCAACATTGATTTTGGTTCTTCCCAAGAACTCAGACGTTCTGTCACTCATCTTTCCTGGGTATTCCAAGTCTCCCATTTTCAGTTTGCATCCCTTTGACGGTAATTGGTTTGTCAACAAATCAACCAACACATGTTCTGGTCCACATACATCGAAATCATCCACATGATGAATCAATACTGTCCCGTCAGTTGACATTTGTAAACACATGCATCCAGTTTTCCCCTCGTGAAAGAATACTTTTCTTTGGGCAATTCCTCTGTCAGTATTTCTTCTAGTCTGTCACGGTATTGTGCTGCAGCTGATTGTCTTCCATACAAATTTCCATCGACCTGCCAAACAATTTCTGAGGCTGGCACGTCCTTCAACTCGTCCTGAATTTCCTTAGGTTGGCTAACTAACCAGACATCGTAGTCCTCCAACCATTCCTGTGGAGGTTTCATCATGACTGGTTGGCCTTTGCTGTCTCCCTGGTCCTTCGCGATCAGGAACGCCGATGAAAGATCCGCCTGGACCCTTGGCAAGTTGTGCAACAAACTGTAGACCTCCACCATCTTCTTTGATGCTTCGTGTGGAGTAGGACAGAAATTGCTAGGTGTCTCTGAACTGTCTTTGTCTTCACTTTGGCTCTTTCTTTTGAAATCTTGGCATGTCAATCGAGATTTCGCTATTCCTTCGGTGACTTTGTCCACCCATTTGTGTCCAAACACCGTGAGTTCTTTGCTCAATTCTCTTCTGTCTCTGGGTTTGAAAGCTCCATAGACTTCATTCAGCTTTCTCAATTCCTCTTTCCTGGCTTCTCTGAGAACTTCTTCGTCTCTGGTTACATTGTCGAGGTAGTCCATGATGTTGGCTAGTGTGGAACTGCCAAAATAGCTTCCGTTCTTTTCCAGCCATTTCTTGTACTCATGTATTTTGTCATAGTGACCACCTGTTTTTCTTTTCTCTCCTGCATATCTCCATTCACCATTTTGAGCAACTGCCGCGATCATGTCTTGGGTTGTACTGACCTCGGTCTCCTCAACCTCTACGGTTGATCGTCTGCTCATCTGTGCATCTTCTGGTGTTGAGATGTCATACCTTTCCAGTAGTCCGGCACTTGCTGCCGCTGACCCTGATCCTGCTGCTTCTGCTTTGACTCTCTTTGGATCCGGTTCTTCAATCTCAACCTTTTCTCCTTCGTCATCCACGGTCATCTTGCTTTCTTTGCTGCTTCCAGCTTCCTTTGGCTCTTTTCGATCTTCTCTTTTGCTCTCCTGGAATCTAACCATGGGCGCTGGAATTTCAATTGCCAACGATTGTTCTTGTTCTGGCTTTTCCTTGAAGTCGTAGACCTCTTCGCTTGCCACTTCTGGTGCTGAAACCAAAGCCTTCCTGGATACGACTGCATCCGGCTTGCTTTTGGTTATTCCCAAAACTGCATTCCACGGTGCTCCCCGCATCTTGTCGAAGATCTCCTTCTGGTACTGAGAACCACCTGGTAACCTCCTCACAGTGCGGTACTTCTGAGCTCCCGATTCTGTGAGCACAAGATGCTCATCGGAACTGCTGGTTTTGCCTCCATAAATCGCTTTGATCCACCTAGGTGCTGACTTCTCGTTAGCTGCTCGAGGGAACTTTGCCATCACTGTCTCCCTCAACGGAATCAGCTCGCCTGTGTACTCGGCACCTGAGATTATTCGATATGGAGTCGTTCTGCTTTTGTTGATATGGAACCTGGCCAAAGTCCATGCTGAGTGTCTGACCACCCAAGGAAATATGTAATGGTCACAGCTGGCTTTGATCTTGTAGTTCTCATTTATCTCGGCCATCCATGTCCTGACTTTTCCCGCAATCAAGCCATTCACCATTTCGCCATCAGCCAAAGATTGTGAACTGTAGCGAGGTGATTTTCTCAGCTTGACTTTCTTTTCCGGCATTCTCTTCTTGACCTCATCATAGAGCTTGTGCAGTGAGTTTTCTTGATCCACCTGAATGGTGACTTTGTCCCAACCAAGTTCCTCAATCCACGTGATAAGCGCTTTGATGGCATACTCGTTGCCACCTTTCGCTGGTACCACAATGGCAAACGGGAATTGGCTGTCTTTGCAAATTGCTGTCAACACCGTCACCAAGCCCTTCTGCTTCAATCCGGTCTCCTTGTCAATGATGTGTCCATCCTTGTTGAAGAACAAATAGTCTGAGTAGATGATATGTTCTTTTGATTCCTCTTTCCGCTTGTGGTGCTTGTCTTTGCCTTGTCCTTGCACACATACTTCACACCATGCTTCGAAGTTCGCGTGATGTAGTCTGTGTTCTTCCCGCTCCTTTGCTGAAGGTTGCGGTGGTGCTTCGATGTTTGCCTTGTGCACCTCAGGTTCGCCTACATCCATGGCTTTCTCTAAATCCTCTGTGTCAGCTATGGAAGGTTCATATCCATCAGTTTCTGCATCTCCTTTCTCTGTGCTCTCCCCTTTCCCAAGCAATCGAAGTGATTCCTCCTGTGTTGCTTCCACATTCACCATACCTGCTGGCATCAGCTCTTTCTCGTCAATCTCTTCTGCTGTCTCCTCATCTTCTTCATCTTTCAATCGAAACCAGCTTTCTCCAAGCCATTCCTTTCCCATGTTCTTTGACGCTGTGCCTCGTCTGGTCCAAAGACTTTCGTCCTCGGCCTGTTCTCCATTTTCACTGAACACCATCTTTGTCAATCTTCCTGGCAGGATGGAGTGGAGCGAAACAGGAAGCTCCTTCATCTTGCTCGGCGAAAAGAGCTGGAATCCCGGAGTGTTGTGAACTCGAATGAGATAGTCATTTCCATCTTTCTTCTCTCGTCTCCACTCATCAGGCTCCTTCTCCTCTTCAATCTTCTGACCTGCTTCGACCGGTGCTACCCGACAGTGGACTTCCGGGTGATTCCCCGAAGGTGATCCGCCATCGTGATTTACTGAACCGGCGAAGTGCTGAACCTTGAGATACCATCTTTTCCCATGGAGCTCAAGTGGGACGTTTTCGCCTTGGTTGGTGACCATCCAACAAGCGTCCTTAGTGAAATGCACTTCATGTCCTTTTGCAACTAAGCTGTGGACTGAAACTAAGCTTTCTGCCGAATCTGTCACTGTCATTTCAATGTTTCCTTTGAGTCGGCCAAGCTGAACAGCTGGGTACTGTTTCCCATGCACTTGAAGTGGATTCCCTTGGACACTGAACAGCGGTCTGGCCTTAGTGCTGTCAATTGCACCTGAAAAGTCTCCTTGCTTTGCCACACTCTCACATGCTCCTGAGTCCACCAAGAGATACCTGGTGTTTCCTGTTTTCCTTACAGCTGAAACCCTTGATTCCCCAACGGTGAAAATCGTGGAGTTTGGAGAAGGTAAGAGATCTGACACGGCACCGACTGCACCTGAACCTCCAGTGGAAGAAGCCGCCTGTTCCTTAGCAGGTGTTGAATTCTCCACGGCTCCTACCTTCCACCAGCAGTCGGCTGCTGTTCACCTGACCTCCTTTGCCTGATCCTTTGTCGTTCTGACTTTTACCTTTACTTCCTTTTCCTTTTTCCTGACCCTTTCCTTTCTCATGGCTGCCTTTTGTCTTTCCTTTTCCAGTACCTTTGTCGCTGTATTGCCATTTCCAGGACTTGTCTCCTTTTGCACTCTGGTCGTAGTTACCTTTTCCTTTTCCACCTTTGCCTTTTCCTTTGTCACCCTTGGAACCTTTTCCTTTGGAAATTCCACCGATGTCCATTGGCATCGGACCTCCATCATCAACCTTATTGGCGACCTTAGTCAAACCAAACTGGGATCCATGCGGACGTTTCCACACGTTCTTGTTTACCAAGTACTGCTCTATGTGCTCTCTCATTTTCGAGTAACTATTCAGCGCATCGCTGTGCATGAATATGCTTCGTTGCAAGTCTTTTGGTGACACATGTGCGAGAATGGAAACCTTCTCGTCTTCCGAAAAAGGTGTTTTAAACATCCTTTCATACTCACGAAGCTCAGATTCCCACTGATGAAGCGCAGTGCTCCATGTGGCCATGTCTGACGGAAAGTTTGGGTTTGAAAGGTGTTTCCTCCACACCCATGCCTTGGTGCGGTAGGAGGGTTCTGAGAGTCGAACCAATCGCCTCCAAATTTCAAATCCATTCGCATCGTGCAGTCCTTGACCGATGACGTTCATTGTCGGTTCGGGCAATACTGCATCAAGAAGGTATACATCGCTTTTGCCAAACGATCTTCTTCCTCGGTAAAAGCAATTTCATCAATTCGATCCTTAGCTGCTCCATACTTTTCCAAGAGCTCAGGATACTTACCATGGACTGTGCTTGACCATGCTGTGAAAATGTGTTTGAACATTTTCCCACTCTTCTTTCTTTCCATTGTATGTTGGTGGTTTGGGCACATTGCTGGGGTGTATGAGACTCCTCTCCTGGTTTGCTTGCGCGGTTTGTGCTGCCCTAGCTGCTGCCAGTTGGGTTTCCGTTTCAGTCAACCTACGTTGTGTTATCTCATGAGCCTGACTGGCCCTTCTCAACCCTTCATTCAAAGCAGTTGTTTGTTCCTGTAGGGCTTGCAACTGTTGTTGCATCGCCTGCACCTCTTGCGGTGAGGCCATTTCAGCACTGTACACTAACAGACACCTACGGCTATCTACACTCAGCTATGTACAGCACGGTGTTACCCGCCTGTTTACCAGCCTCGGTGATAACCGTATGCTTGTCCGTAAGCTCCCCAGTCGGCCCAGTTGCGCCACTCGTTGTGCTGGAACCTGTAGTTCGCGTGGTAGGGCTCGTAGCGCTCCCAATGATCCCTTCCGTGAGACCAGTTCGAAGAGCTCGCCCTTGACGTACTGTACGACCCGGTACTGTAGCTGGACGAAGAGTAGTTGTCTTCGTACTGCTCCTGCCCAACTTCACCTGAGTCGCCCTCAGCAGCCTCTTGCTGCTCGTTTTCTTCTGTGGCCTGCTCTGCGGCCTTGTCTGTTTCTTCTTCGTCTACGCTGTACCACACGCTTGTTGGTGCGTGAGTCAGCGTTGCTTCTGAGAACTCGGTCTGGTTGTCCTCGGGGATCACGGTGTCTCGATCCTCCGGGAGTCTTGTCACTGCCCTTCCACCCACGGTCCTGGTGACCTGCGTGGGCGCCGAAGAGCTGCTGCTGCCGTCCTCTTCGGGGACGCCGTCAACGAAGACTGTCTCGTCCTCGTCGGTCTCACTTCTCAGGTCCTGCCTGATTCTTTCCAGCACCTCCTCGGATGCTGTCTGCGTAGCGTTCTCGTCCACTGACTCAAGCCCTTCGCCAAGTAGTCCGTGAGCTACCCGACGTCCTCCTGTCTCCCTTGCGTAGGAGTTTCTTGACGACCTCCCTGGGTTGCGTCTCACCTGCTCTGCCAGGTGCGGGTATCGCCTTGCAAAGCGATTGAACCCTCTTTGCGCCGCTGTTGACGCTGCACTGTGCGCAGGAATTCCTCCTCGCACTGGGTTTCTGTGGTCCACGAAGTCGGGGTCTCCAAGCTGCGGTGCTGACTGCAACCGAAGCCCCTCAACGTAGCTCAACCTTTCTGCTGTTGGTGCGTCCACTGGCTGTCCAGGCCTCGGGGCTGGAGCTTGCAGTAGCGCCTCGGCTCTTCTAAGAGCCCCTCTCTCAGCACGCCGCTCGACTGCAGCTGCTGATCGCCACCGGGTCTCACCCGGACTCCTTCGGCCCTTGCCTTTCTGGCCGGGCTTGCCCGTAGTGACGGGCTGTGGTCGCCGCTACTCACGCGGCTGGCCTCCTCTTCTCTTTCACCACCAGCGGCCGCTCCTCACGCAGCTCGCCAACCACTCGCGCGCCTATGGAGGCCACGCGGTGTTCCCCGCAGGTAGTGGTGACACCCACCGGCTGGTCCCAGGACGGCCCGGAACCAGCTCCGCTACCATGCGAAAACGGCTTTCACTCTTTTCTCCAAAGCCTATACGGGCTAGCGGTGCAGGGTTTGCGTAGCTGGCAACTCAGAGGCATGCTTTACAAGAACCAGCTATTTCACCTGAGGATTTCTTGCATGATGGGAACATAATGGTCTAAATCACAAACTTGATATGACTCACTGGCTCTGGAAATGGGGGATTGATGGGGATTGACCCTAAATTTATGGCCTGACAGGGAGAATGATTCACCATCTTGGGCAATTACAGCTTGTATTCTGTTGACAAACCCACATCATCCTACATCAAATATCAACGTGGGACCTGACGTGAGAGGTTCGGCCAAGTGGCCTTCGTTGTCGATACATTCTGCTCCAATCTGCCAAGAACTCGCGACCGCAACAAGCTTGGAGTCCGAGTGCCTGGATGTTGTCTGCAATAACTTCGGATCGTGGAAAATGAACACAGCATGGCACATCTGTAGAGGTGGTGTGATGGCAAAAAAACATAGTCTACGAATGTACGAGCATCTGGCTTGGATTTCGGCAACCAGAATCAACTATCATCAACTTACGGCAAGGATTTTCTGTCTGCTTCAAGAGATCTCATCTTGCCCTACCTTGGCTGCAGCCTCTTGCCGGGTGGCCTCCATTGCTCACTGTGGTCTCGGTTTATTTTAGTTCTTTGGAAACCGGTTATACCTTTGGGGGCTCAATTATTCGAAGTATATGTTGTAATATGTTGTAATATGTTGTAATATGTTGAAATATGTTGTATATGTCTATATCGCACGGGGAACTGAAGGAAAAATCAACATCTGAAACAATTCCCAAACCACCAAATATTTCAAATAGGGGAAACCTTCTCATCTTTGCAAGTAAAATCCCTATCAGAGCCAAGGAAAAAACGTCGCGATCTGCGCTGCACCTCGCACGCCGGAGTCAGCCCGCCAAAACGCCGGAATCGTAACGCCAAAATAGTTGGGAATGGATATTCGTCCCGCAAAATATGGTATAATCTGGTATAATTAGGTACAATTTGTAAAACAGGTCTTGATCCTTTCCCATATCGAAATCCCAACATCCCCTTCATACCTCTCAAGAATGGGACGTTCTAGTTCTAGAGTCAGTCCATCCATAGGCTTCAGGTCCTCAGGTTACATCCTGTAGGGAGCAACATGGTCAGCTCCTTCCATTTTTGTTCAGCTACTTTACTTCGACCTGTCCCGGGAGACCGAAAGGATCCGAAAGGTGGATGGAGTCCTTCACTGGAAAATACTCACATGGCAAAGCTTATCTTCTCATGTTTTCATATGCTTTTCTTGCTATGCCTTCGGCGAGTCGGCAGCTTCCAGCTGGATCTTCCAGGATGAATCTCCTGCAGTGAAGAAATTCTTCATCTTAATCTACATGTATGCAAAGTGAAATTGCATAAGAAAACTAAGAAAACTCTGCTGATCATCAGGTGACAGGTGCTTTTCAGGTTGATCATCTTCGCTGCTTTTCAGCTTCATCTGAAAGGCCAGCCTGACCAACAGCCGCAACAGCTGGAGAGTAGGTGTCCGTCCGTCGCGATGTCTTCCTGGAGAGCTTGGAAAATGACCCAAGCCATCCGCACCCACGGAGAGTAGGAACTACATTGAGTTTCACAGGGCCTAGAAATTGGTGTGTACAGTGTACACCAACAAGAGTTGCCTACCGGCAAAACTAATTTTCATCTTCAAAAATATAAATTCGGAAACCTCCCTGTCCTAGGGTTTGTGCAAGAAGTCTTCAAGGAAAAGTCATGTCTACGCTTGTTGCCTTCCTTTCCGAGAAGCGGTTGATTTGACCCTGATTCTTGAGACCCAGTGCCACCCCCAAATCACCCAAACAACACAACAATGTTGAGAGTTGTTTCATCAGTTTTCACACCACGCTTCGGACGTTGTTGCTTCAACTTAGCACATCACTGCTAGGAGACAAACAGAAAAACTGCCCAATTTGGGGGGAAAACCGACCTTGATCCAATCCTTCATAGGAACAACTGCAGAGAAACCCAATTTTTATATACACTGCTATATACACTGTTCAGCAGGCCAGCTGCACTTGTGCAGATTATCGAACCAGCGTTCGCTGGGCGGGATGGAGCTGCTTCCTAAAGAACAGAAACCACAATAGGCCCAGGTCAAGAATTACACTGACAACAGACGCTGCTAGCCAAAGCGGTGAAAACTCGGTAACTGCGACTTTCAAGACCCCGCACTGAAGGAGAATAAGACGGTCTGCGAAATACATTACGACAACGCAAAGGCCTGTGCCCAAGAACAGGCGTAGACCCCAATGGCCCACGAGGTCAGTCGCCCATTTGCAGGCAATCAGCATTGACGGAACCTCCACAAAAATGCTCAAAGGTAATATAAACAAACAATAGATTGTGTCAAACACAAAGTACTGCGAGACAGAAGAGAAGCCATCAGAGGATGCTGGTTTCTGAACATCAGCACCGCATCCCAAAACATAACGCACGTTCCACAAGATCCAAGGTAACCCTGCAACCGTGCACAGTCTGAAGGAGATGTAATCTTCCTTTCCCATGGACCGAATCACACTGTCACGGAGGGGGCCTCGGACGTACGCATTGAACTGATCAATGATTTGATCGTTCGTAGGGTAGCTGGTGATATGTCGGATCTCACGGATGGTCTCTGGGGTCTCTGGGGCTAGGAGAGTTTCTGAACCGCCCATGTCGTCTTCGGCCTCTTCAGTACCAAATGCAATGCTCACAGGAGGCTCGAGCGCCTCATCAAACAGACTCAATACTTGCTCTTCGATGACTCTGCGATCTGTCTCCAAAGTGCACTTGGCATTTCCAAGTTGAAACCCTGCCATCTGATCAAGCATCCTCTTGTGTCGCTTGATCTTCTGGAAACAAAACCAAGAAGCAATGACTGCATAAAGAAGATACATCGCAGGCGGAAATAAATTGGTTTTGAAGACGGACTCAAGGAGGGAGGTGATCGATTCTGTGTTCAGATGAGGTAGGGGAATTGCAGGACCACTATCGCCAAGACCTAGGAGTTTGGATAACTACAACACGGTTTCATCGACAGGATCGAGGAAAACAAAGGTCACCCCATGTCAGTGTATTTCGCATTTTCAGGACTTTCCCCTACACAGAACGAGTCCATTTCAACATCATGTGTTTTGAAGTGCGAGGCCATTGTGCCAACCATATCTGACCACCCTTCAAATCTACATTAGGCCCAGTTGAGTTCAAAATCCTCTGTCATCATTGTTATCCCCTTCTACAGGGATTCCCACAATGGGTCATAAGAATCCCCCAAATCCGCCGACCCCTGCCTTGGCCAAGGCAGGGGCGGCGCCTGGGACCACCGGAGGTGTGGAACCTGATTTGTCACGGCCATGGCCCTCACATTCCAGCAACATAACCCTTCGGCAGGCCTTTCCAAGGCAACTCTTGCAGCTTCCCGCAGGCCTTTCCAAGGCAACTCTCGCAGCTACACGCCCCAGCCATCTGTTTTTAAGAGATTCAAGACTGCCGTTTGCCCGCCCAAACCCCTCAAAACCCTCAAACCCTTCCGCAGCCCTTTCCAAGGCAACTCTTGCAGCTTCCCGCAAGCCTTTCCAAGGCAACTCTCGCAGCTACAGGCCCCAGACAATGCTTCAAACCCTTCCGCAGGCCTTTCCAAGGCAACTCTCGCAGCTACAGGCCCCAAGCCATCTATTTTTAAGGGCGTTCAAGACTGCCGTTTGCCCGCCCTCAAACCCCTCAAACCCTCCCGCAGGCCTTTCCAAGACAACTCTCGCAGCTTCCCGCAAGCCTTTCCAAGGCAACTCTCGCAGCTACAAGCCCCAGACACTGCTTCAAACCCTTCCGCAAGCCTTTCCAAGGCAACTCTCGCAGCTACACGCCCCAGCCATCTGTTTTTTAAGAGGTTTGCCCGCCCTCAAATCCCTCAAAACCTTCAAACCCTTCCGCATGCCTTTCCAAGGCAACTCTTGCAGCTTCCCGCAAGCCTTTCCAAGGCAACTCTCGCAGCTACAGGCCCCAGACAATGCTTCAAACCCTTCCGCAAACCTTTCCAAGGCAACTCTCGCAGCTTCCCGCAGGCCTTTCCAAGGCAACTCTCGCAGCTACAGGCCCCAGACACTGCTAGAAACCCTTCCACAGGCCTTTCCAAGGCAAATCTCGCCGCTACACACCCCAGCCATCTGTTTTTAAGGGATTCAAGACTGCCGTTTGCCCGCCCTCAAACCCTTCAAACCCTTCCGCAGGCCTTTCCAAGGCAACTCTCGCAGCTTCCCGCGGGCCTTTCCAAGGCGCTACAGGCCCCAGACACTGCTTCAAACCCTTCCGACTGCCGTTTGCCCGCTCTCAAACCCCTCAAACCCTTCAAACCCTGGGGCAGGCCCTTCCAAGGCAACTCTCGCAGCTACACGCCCCAGCCATCTGTTTTTAAGAGATTCAAGATTGCCGTTTGCCCGCCCTCAAAACCCTCAAACCCCTCAAACCATTCCGCAGGCCTTTCCAAGGCAACTCTTGCAGCTTCCCGCAAGCCTTTCCAAGGCAACTCTCGCAGCTACAGGCCCCAGACAATGCTTCAAACCCTTCTGCAGGCGTTTCCAAGGCAACTCTCGTAGCTACAGGCCCCAGCCAGCTACACGCCCCAGACACTGCTTCAAACCCTTCCGCATGCCTTTCCAAAGCAGCTCTCGCAGCTACACGCCCCAGCCATCTGCTTTTAAGAGATTCAAGACTGCCGTTTGCCCGCCCTCAAACCCCTCAAACCCCTCAAACCCCTCAAACCCCTCAAACCCTTCCGCAGGCCTTTCCAAGGCAACTCTTGCAGCTTCCCGCAAGCCTCCCCAAGGCAACTGTCGCAGCTACAGGCCCCAGACAATGCTTCAAACCCTTCCGCAGGCCTTTCCAAGGCAACTCTCGCAGCCACAGGCCCCAGCCATCTGTTTTTAAGGGCGTTCAAGACTGCCGTTTGCCCGCCCTCAAACCCTTCAAACCCCTCCGCAAGCCTTTCCAAGGCAACTCTCGCAGCTTCCCGCAAGCTTTTCAAGGCAACTCTCGCAGCTACAGGCTCCAACAATGCTTCAAACCCTTCCGCAAGCCTTTCCAAGGCAACTCTCGCAGCTACACGCCCCAGCCATCTGCTTTTAAGAGATTCAAGACTGCCGTTTGCCCGCCCTCAAACCCCTCAAACCATTCCGCAGGCCTTTCCAAGGCAACTCTCGCAGCTTCCCGCAGGCCTTTCCAAGGCAACTCTCGCAGCTACACGCCCCAGACACTGCTTCAAACCCTTCCGCGTGCCTTTCCAAGGCAACTCTCGCAGCTACACGCCCCAGCCATCTGTTTGTAAGAGATTCAAGACTGCCGTTTGCCCGCCCTCAAGCCCTTCAAACCCTTCCGCAGGCCTTTCCAAGGCATCGCTTGCAGCTTCCCGCAAGCCTTTCCAAGGCAACTCTCGCAGCTACACGCCCCAGACAATGCTTCAAACCCTTCCGCAGGCCTTTCCAAGGCAACTCTCGCAGCTACAGGCCCCAAGCCATCTGTTTTTAAGGGCGTTCAAGACTGCCGTTTGCCCGACTTCAAACTCTCAAACCCTTCCGCAAGCCTTTCCAAGGCAACTCTTGCAGCTTCCCGCAAGCCTTTCCAAGGCAACTCTCTCAGCTAGACAATGCTTCAAACCCTTCCGCAGGCCTTTCCAAGGCAACTCTCGCAGCTACACGCCCCAGACAATGCTTCAAACCCTTCCGCAGGCCTTTCCAAGGCAACTCTCGCAGCTACACGCCCCAGCCATCTGTTTTTAAGAGATTCAAGATTGCCGTTTGCCCGCCCTCAAACCCCTCAAACCCCTCAAACCCTTCCGCAGGCCTTTCCAAGGCAACTCTTGCAGCTTCCCGCAGGCCTTTCCAAGGCAACTCTCGCAGCTACACGCCCCAGACAATGCTTCAAACCCAAATAGGGGGGTCGGCGGCACCAGGGCGCTAGCCCATTCTATAAGCTCATTACTCTATAACCCCCCAAAATTGCCTATCATCAAGAGTTTTGAGCACTGCCCATGTATTAAGTGCAACCAGAGCGCAAAACATCAAAGAGAAACTGATGAAAAGAATTGTCCACAGAGGCATCCACATCGGAATCAGCTCGGCAGTGGCCGAGCCTGTTTTGCTGTGCACGGCCAATTCCTGGCCAGCTGCACAAGGGGACAGAGGTTCCCAACCCACCAAGAAAGCAAATCGGAAAACTTACGACCAAGAGCAAAACTTCTGCCAAACCAAAGCCAAAAGGGACATATATGCACCAAAGCCTTGAAAAATACGTCTCATCCAACAAAATGATCATCCTTTCTGAGTGGGCCACAAAAGCAGGAACGGCTTTCAATGCCTGACATCTCCGTAGCAAGTTTTCTTGGTCAATGCAGAGCCGGTCAAACCAGAATGACTTGTTGGACAGCAAATGTCCACAAGCATATGTCATCACGAAAGCAAGCACGGGCCACCAGTACAGACTGCCAGACCGGAGGCTTTGAGGTTCTTGTGCCACAGCACTTAAGCTGCCAGCGTGTAGAACCAAGAAGATCACACCCAAAATGCAAGCAAAGAATGATGAGAAAATGGCCAAGTCCAAGTTCAGGTAGTGACACAGCGCCAGAAGTTTCTGCCAAGATGGACACTTCGAAGAATGGCTGATGAAAAGTTCCACTGTAGAGACCTTGATTGCAGCGATTGCAGCACGCCAAAACCGGTGCCCATTGTCTTGATTTGTTGAAGATGGAATGTCATCATCAAAATTGCCAAAACAAAATACTTCCATTTCTTTACCCTTTTCAGATCAAACACAACATCCACCAAAACTATCCAAAACTGATTTTTGTCAAACCCGAGCCTTCCTTAAAAACTGGAACCGTGATGAAGATCCGGCAATGGAACCAGCACAGCAGCTCCCACACGGGAACATCAAAGAAAGTAGGCTACATGTGACATCACAAGCAGATGCAGCTCGAAACAACCCATGGTTCTTTGCATAGGCCACGAGTTCTTGCACCGCTTGCATCGATGTCTATTGCGGCGACGGCCATGCGCCCCAAAATCAAAACATGCCACTTACAACAAATTGTCAGTTGCCCAGGTACTTTCGAAAAACATCCTCAACTTTGCGCAAGGATATTGTGCAAATACACCTTCGCTGCCGATAGTCAATAGTTCAACAGCATCTTTTTCTTGCTACAAGTAGGATTGATTGATATTTTCACAATCTTGCAACATGAGTGAAATATGTGAAGCTTCGGAAGATGCAACACTCTGAACAAACATTTCCAGAATGAACCGTTTCCGAGCCAAACGTGCAAGATGCTGGCAGCTTAGAAGCATGCGTAAGATGATCCGTCATTGCCTCCATCTATTTGTGGTCAAAATAAATCTGCCATGTATGCATCAACTCTTGTCATCCACCGCATGACTTTGGAGGTAGCCGTGACGAATTCAGTTTTGATTTGCCACTGGCTCTGCAAATTGTGTGTCTTGAAAGCTGTCAAAAAGGAGCAAAAGTTTAACCAAAGACTCGTGACAATACCCCAAAATGAAGAGTCGATCAAAGCACCCAGCCAACTGTCGCTTCCAGTCCTCACCGTCTGAGTGCATCCAACAAGCTCCATGAGCTGCATCTATGAACTGACCCAACAAGCCCAGCCAGTTCCATTCTGGGACTGCTACAGCTCGCCTAGCACCCTAGCTGCGGTGCCGAGTCATGTCGCTTGATGTCACATGGTATTGCGGCAACGGCTGTCAGCTGTGCCATTCTGTGCGAGTGGAGGTTGCAGCAACTGCCAGCTGGTGCAAGACTAGTAGTGCTTGGCAAATTTTATCCTTCGCGAAGTCGCTTTTGTCTCTGGTGGCTGTGGAAAACCGGGACCTGCCAACCAGACTCTGACGGTGAAACATGTCTGACTTGCGCCTTGCTACACGGATCAATCATTCTTGGCCAATCTACATCCGCCCAAGCTACAAGCAGTGACGCCTCAAATTCGGCCATGCCTCATTTTCCGATTTCTTCGAAGCCAGTTCCTGTACAGCTCAGCGCGCAAGTGAGATGCACTCGCCATGCAAATCGCGTGTAAACATAGTCACCCCTGCTACTAGTCCAAGCAAAGAAAGGCTGAGTTGCCCCTAGCGAAGTCTTGGCAGACCCAAAAGCTGACTCATTGAATTGGCTTGTAGCTGGATGTTCAACTCCGAAAACATGGAAATATATTATAGAATATATATATATACAATATAGAATGAGTATATTATGAAAATGTTGTGGGTTTCCATCCCCAATTTCGTGATTGGCAACACTCCGCTGCCTACTGGGCCACTGCTGCGCCAACTCCGGCTGCAATGCCGCCGGTGCCACCTGCCGAAGATTCTTGAATCTCCGAAGATTCCGAATTCATCCAGGGCTGTGAGTCGCTGGGATTCTCATCTGAACTGATTGAGTCGATTCCATATTTTTTTTGGTTGGCCAGGTTGCAAAGCGTGGCAATTCGGATCCAAAAAAACAAACCTCATGTCCGAAGACCTGGAAAGTAAAGTTTTGAAGTCCGGTGAAGCACAGGGCAGCTCAGTCGCGAAGATATAAAATGGTATAAAATCAGATAAAAACACTAAAAAACATGCAAGTTACGAAACTTGTTTTTTTAAGGCATGAACTGGTTCTGATGTCTGAAATCAACGGTTTACTCAACGATGTTCACGGTTTTTCCCACCTGCGGGACTTCTGCCCAGGCCTTTTGCGGCTCCATCTCCTGTCTCGTTTTTTGGGACCCAGAAATGTTTGGAGTAATCCAATGATGATTGAACATGTTCCACCAGGCTTCTTTTGGTATTTCAAGGGTGTTTGCTATGGAAATTTCATGAAATTGACACAAATTTACTATGGGGATCTATGGGGATTGGATTAGACTCGTTCTTATCGGACTTTGACGGGAATTCGGAAGGGCTTTGGGAACTGCTGTTGAGTCGTGTCGCACGTGTCACGGCCTGGTTCAGCGCGGGTCCCTTTGAGTTTCGATGCGCTAGCGAGCCTCAAATCGAAGCTAAGCTTGGGTCATACCTCCACAGCAGGGATTTAACCAATGAAAAACATGGAGGGAACCCAATGGGATACATTGTATACATCAGCAACTTGAGATTCGATTCTTCCAACCCCTACAATCAATGACACGGGACCGTAGTGGGTCAGCAAAGCGATTTTCTGCATTTCATTGTCACAGTCGATACATGGCAAATGCTGAGGCCAAAAACTGGCAGCGCGCGATGAGGACTGCAACAAGCTTGGAGCCCGAGTGTCCTGGATTTGATGAGTCTGGAATTAATTCTTTGGATATCTCAACAGATGGTTTGATGGGAACAAACATGAAGAAAATACCAGTCAAAATACCAGTCTACCAGAGTCTACCAGTCTCTGGCTTGGATTTTGGCCTATTTTGAGCGGCCAACACAAAATCAAGCTATGCTGGCAGACCACCATCGCCTTGGCTGCCTCTTGTCGGGCCCTGGCCTGGTCTGATACTGGTCCGAACGCGACTGGAAGCACATGGCTGAGGGTTTCTTGAATGGGTTCCCCAAGTCACCAGAGGTTTACTAAACTGATCTGACTTGGATGATTTGAGGTACGTTGACTTAGGAAACCTCCATAATATGTCATTCTTTTTTTTGCACGGAACTAGAAGGAATCACACGCCGGATCTGCAACAAACCGATCCAGCAGAGCGGAACCTCTTCACACGCCGGATCGAAACGACCTGAGCGAAATCTCCACAAGAACACTACAGAGTAAACAGTTTGTGCACATATCAACATTTCCCAACAGTTGGGTTCCACAAGATCCACAAGGTGAACCGGTCATATCAAAATGCAACATTTCGTGTTGACCTCCGTTGCAATCCTCCGTTTTCGTCCTCAAGTTTGATTCCAACGGAAGTTTCGTGGCAATGACCCGATTGCAGCTTAGCGGCTGCATGCATTTAGACTTGTCCCACAGCCCATCTTCCGGATGACCTGCGTCGCGGCATGCTATGGCTTCGTCTGGTGATGGTGATCTTGACTATGATCATTCGCAAAAACATGAGCCATCAATAGATAGCGGCGTCAGCCATCAATAGAACTAAGTCCTCATCGTGAATTGTTTGTACAGAATAATACAACAACACTCAAGAAAAACATAGAAAAAACAAGTGAGGCTTGCAACTCCACCGAACAATGATTATGTTGCAAGCCTCTTTTTACATTACCGATTCTCATGACTTCGTCAATGCCGCCCACCCCAATTTCCAAGTTGCATTTGAGAAACCCCAAGGCTCTGCCACCCAAGCCTTTTGTCAACCGGAGCCCCGAAAGATTACGCTCACAGGGTCTGGGGCTAAGCCGACATCAACAGTTGAAGTTTGAACCGAACGATTCACTGCAGCAGACCATGGCACTGCGGCACTGCACAATGTCCTGTCACAGATCCACCAAGTCATCCTGAAAATGGCCTGCGAATCAAATCTTGGCTTCAACACCATGTTCGACAACAAACAAGTCTGTCTCTTCGAAGACTTTGAAGATCGTTGACTTTTTTCATGCGCGGCACTAATCTGCAGCAGCTAAGGCAGCTATCATCTTGGCCTTCGAGTAGGGTCTAGTGAAAACTCTTTCTCTCTTCATTAGACACTCAAACTCTGCATGTTGCAAATAGCTATAGATCAAAATCTTGGTAGCTGGGTAACATCAAAATAGCTCCTAAGAAAAATAAACATGTTACCCTCCAAACTATGGTGTCGGTGCTCCAACAATTTTGTGCGCTGCGCTGCCCGCCTCAAGAACTTGGTGGAAAGCGGCCTGGCAAAATCAAGCCATGGTGCACCAAATCTGAGATCGACGTCTCCTGCTCCGAAAGAAACGATTTTATGTGTGGTCTATGTCCACCTCAACTGGCACCTTTTTCTGTCCTTGTGATTCAAACACATATAATATTACGGCAAGATCCTGAGGTTTGCCCGGACTCGCAATGAGCATCCGGGCAAGCCAAAATGACGATGACGATGACGATGACGATGATGATGACGATGACGATGACGATGACGATGACGATGACGATGACGATGACGATGACGATGACGATGATGATGATGATGATGATGATGATGATGATTTTGATTGAGACCCTATAAGACGCCCAAGTGACTGTATGGTTAATTGTTCCATGGGGGCGGGGGGAGTGATATCTTCTTGAAACCCTATAAGAAACCCTAATGACTGTATGGTTAATTCCATATGATATGTAGAAGCGACATGTTCTGGTTATATGATATGTATGTACAAGTTACATGTTCTGGTTAACACCCTAGCAACATTAATTCGAACATAAAATCCTTCCCGTTGTTTGACGTCGCACAGAATTCCCTGGTATTTACGCTATTCTGGCTTTGGGCAAACCTCGGGGTCTATGTGTAATATTATATACATATATATATATATGATATGCGCATGATATATGGTGACCCTGCATTTCAAGCCAGCCCAAGAGGTTGAATCGTCTTACTTCCCAACACTTCGGCGATGTTCCCAACGACGCCTGCAGGCGAGGTCCAAAGCTTCGCAGCACTGCGGCACAGTACCTGTGAAAAAACACGTCAACAAGTTGGTGCATGACCTGCTGCTCTGAAGAATATCATGGTTAATGATGGTTAATGATGGTTGGTTAATATAGTGTATTGTTAATATCATGGGTTAATATCATGGAAATATTTTTTTCGAGAATGTCCCCACCAATAATGGTCAAAGCTGTAGCCAAACGTAACACACAAAACTCTTTGCTCTGACGAGTTTCAAATCAGCTGCAGGTCCAATGGGTTTATACAGTAGAGGTCCAAATTCCAAAACGTAGACACGAATCCATTGCGAGTTTGCTTGCAACCAAGGGACCTCCGCCAGTCACTTGCAGGGTCTGGTAAAGGACCCGGCTCGGAGGCCTGCTGCCCGAAATTTCACATGGAATCTGAAAACTGAGCTCCCGAAAAGATGATTTTACTACTGGATATGGCCCTTCTTCTCACTGGAAAGGCTTTGATATGTCTTTTCCGCTAACCCAAGGCTGAAAGGAATCTCTTTGATTTCAAGATATTTTAAGTATCTGCATTCGCATAAACCACACTTCAACTTCCCCCCAATCTCAAGTCGAGCGCCTTGGGCATGGATCTCTGCAGTAATCTCAGAGCTTCTAGCTCCTTCCATCTGCTAACCCCCAGCTCATCCCAGCTGTAGCTTTCCATTTGAACCTTTCTATTTCAATTTTTCACAGAGAAACCTGCTGCTGCTACAGGTTACTTTAGTTGGAACTGGTCCGATGGACGACAGTTCATATGACAGAAACTCTCCTGTCGTGGCGTAAGCTCATCATCACTTTCTGGAGGAATGAGCGATTGGCACAGCGCAGCAGCTACAATGGCAGCCTCGCAGAATGGAGGGTCTGTCAGCTGATAGTTGTAAACTGGCCAGCAGTGAAATCTGCTGGTCTTAAGAAAATCATCAGCCCGCGAGTGCTTTTACTACAGCGTGACTGAACGAGGACACCAGGCCGAATCACCAGCAAATAACATCAAATAAAGAGTTCCTTGGTTCAAACTCCACTGGCTAAATCGAATAGATCATATGTGCCACAGTAACATGGAGAAAATCATGGTCATCCTGCTAAAAAAAAATCAGAAAAAATTACTAAAAAAAACCTTAGTAAGTCTATTGATATGGAGACCTATTGACCTATTACCTATTTTTATTGTCCCTATTGATGTCATGGGATTTCATGGATTGATACCATCCATCATCCCATCATCCATGGCACTGCCATGGATTCACAGCGCCTGTGGCACGGGATCTGACAACGTCATCGCACACTGGGCATAGACCTGGCAAGTTTCGCCGAAAAAAAAATCACCCAGCAAGAGCAGGGCCATATCAGTGTTGCAGATCAATCGTGTTTTAAAAAACATGAAGAGTATATTATGTATGTATGTATATATGTATATTATATATATATGTATATATACATACATAATATACTATATATATATGTATGTATATATGTATATATATGAATATAATCCAGCTGGATCTCGGCGTCACTATACTGCCATCAGATCCACTTCATAAACCAGGGACGTGAGGTGCTGCAATTGAGCCCTTACCTTGCCCTGCGCGGTGTCCATGGTTGCTCCAAGCTTCTCGAGCCTCCAATGGTGAAGCGATGTTCATCCACGGCAGAAACGTCTCCCAACAATCTCCCAACCGCAGAAGCTCAAGAAAAGACCTCCTGAAATGAATCAGCCAACAAGATCAAGCTGCATCTTATAATATATAATATATTATATATTGTATATCATATATTATAATTGTATATAACTGGCTTTGTTGCTCCCCATGGGGCCCCCAAACTGTGGTCTTCACCTCCACTGCATGTTGCTCCTTCAATCCCAGGAGTTTCCTCATCCAAGTTACAAGCCATTTTTTAAGCCATTTTTTAAGCCCATGGTTTTGGGGTTTTGGGATCCCCCATTGGAAAAGAAACCCCCATTTTTTTCGGCTGTTTGATCTCCTGTGTTGTTTGATTCTCACTGGGCCTTGCTGCTGACTTGGGGTCCACTGGCAACCTCCAACGCAAAACGTGCAACGCTAGCTGACCCTGCTGTCTACGTGCCATGAAACCCACCTGATCTGGGCAGAGTCAAAGGGGTTGTCCTCCAAAGCGAAGCCATACCTCAGAAAATTCGAAAATCTTCCAGAGATTCACGCAAACATGGAGAGAACCATCAAGGATTTGCAATCATGCAGTCAAATTCAAGTGCATAAGTCAGCTGCACAAGTCACAGTTCGATATGGTTACCCTTTCACAGACACGATGAGCTTTGGAACAATCATAGTGTCAAAGGAAGAATTCCTGTGCACTTCTTTTCGTTTGCGCATTTCTCACAGCAAAGCTTGACTGAGAGGAAGACCAGAGAAGCAGCCGGTTGTTGTCCTTTGGAAAATTCTGCGGATATAGAATCTAGATGAATCTAGATTCCCAAAAAATGTCGTTTTGTTACTTCCCTCAGTGTTTCTCAAATTGAGATTTTTGGGGCATCCAAAATGTTTGGACAAACCATGGCAGTGACCATGGCAAACCATGGCCCCATGAAATTCGGTTCATGCCCTATTCTCCAACTCGGGACCCTCAGGCTGGTACGGCTCTTTCGTAGAAGATGCAAACCTGGCATGGCGCTGTGAGCTGCAGAAAAAAAAAACAACAGATGTGGCATGGACAGCAGATGACTCCAACAAGGCATGGACAACAACAGATGTGGTGCCTCAACAAGCTCGAATTTGTGACAAATGGTCATGTTTTGCTGGTCCAGGGACTGCAACGTAATATTTTTTGGACATGTTCATGTTTTGACTATGTTTATGAAAATCTTACTGAGCCAGAGGCTGTAGACCCCAAAAACAATTGTTTATCATGTTTTAATCATGTTTTATCATTTTTGTCTATCATGTTTGTTTATCATTATTTTATCATTATAGTCACTATGTTCTACAATACAAAACTGCACTGTAAGGACACCAAATGCTCAGACTCAATGCAATGCAAAGCCCGAAGAACAACAGTAAGCCAGACCAAAAATCCAACTTTGATGTTTTTTCCAAATTGTGATCATCACCGCATTATTCACCACTGGTTTCTCCAAGTTTCTCCAATGGTTTTCTCCAACAAAGCTGATCATCCCATCATCCCATTGATTTTTTGGTGACCTCGTCCCCCTCATCGTAGTCCACGGATGCCATGAGGGCTACATGCCCGTCCTGTTCGAGACGGATGTCGTGCTCAGTTTTTGAGAGAAACAGATCCTGAAAGATCCTGAAAGATGATGCATCTATAAACTATGACACATGTAATAAGTATGATAATGATAAGATAAGTCTGAAATATCGAGTATGGCGGCAACCAGCAAACCGGGCCGTGAACCGGCAAACCGTGGCCGTACGGCTGCCCCCCTCCACGGTTCCACGGTTCCACGGTTCCACGGCTCAGCCGTGAGCTGTGCGGCCACGGCTGGGCTCCACGGTTCCACGGCTGAGCCGTGGAACCGTGGAGCCGAGCCGTGGCCGCACGGTTCCACGGCTGAGCCGTGAAACCGTGGAGGCCAGCTGTGACCGTGCCTTCCGCAGTTCGTTAACTTCATATTTATTTGCCAGTAGTACCGCACAAGCGGTTGCGGAAGTTTTAAAAATAGGAAACTTATAAGAGATTGGTTGTTGTGAATCAAGGATGGCAGACCGAATCCACTGATGGACCGAAAGGTGCTTGAGGTCTTCTCTCTTTCTCTCTCTTTCTCTGACTACCTACCTACCTATCTACCTACCTATCTATCTTCAATGTATCTATTTATCTATCTATTGATCTATGTATCTTTCTCTCTGTCATCTAATTACCTATCTATCTATCTATCTATTTATCTATCTATCTCTATCTCTATCTCTTTCTCTATCGCTATCTCTATCTCTATCTCTATGTCTATCTCTCTCTCTCCCTCTCTCTTTTTCATCTGTCTATCTGTCTAGCTGTCTACCTATCTATCTGTCTATCTATCTATCTATTTATCTATCTATCTATCTGTCTATCTGTGTAACTGTCTATCACGTAGTATGGTGAAGTGTACTTTAGTGTAGTGGAGTGTAGTGGAGTGTAGCGAAGGGAAGTGAAGCGACACCTGAACCTCCAAAAGTGGTGCGAACCCCTGGTGCTTTACACAGTTTGACTTCGAAATGTGCTTCGCGACACAACAGCGTGCACTTGTTCGACATCTGAACTTCCAAAGGTGGTTCGAACCCCGGGTGTTTTTAACATGTTGACGTGGAAATGTGCTTCTCGCCACAACGGCGTGCACTTTTTCGACATCGCAATTTCCAAAAGTGATGCGACCATGGTGTGCTTTGTACATTTTGACTTGGAAATGTGCTTCCCGCCATAGCGACGTGCACTTTTTCAACATCTCAACTTCCAAAAGCGGTCCGAGGCTGAGGCGTCTTGTACATTTTGACTTGGAAATGTGCTTCGCACCACAACGGCGTGCATTTTTTCGACAGCTCCAGTGCCAAAAGTGGTCCGCACTTAATGTGGTTTGTACATTTTGACATTAAAATGTGTTTCGCGCTACAACGGCGTACGTTTTTTTATCTCTCATCTGGTCAGCTGGCTCCGCACCCGCCGCTTTAGCAAGCCTACTTTTCGACCCTCCTGAGCCACAAATCATTGTAAAAACACAGTGAATCACGACTTTCCTACCTTTTCGGGCATCTGCATCTTCGTTCTTCTGACTCTTTCTCTTCGACTCTTCTCTCTTCTAATCTTTCTGCTCTCTGCCTCTGCCCTACTCTGCTTTTCATCTGTCCATATTGTCGGAAGTTTGATTTCTAAACTTCCTTCGATAATATTCCATTTTTACCAGTCAAACATTTATAGATGGCTCCAAGGCTTGAACTGCAAGGCTCCATTTCTGTCCCATGGCGAAATGCACGCTGCGCGGCATGTTTTGTCGGGCCAACTTTGCGCCCAGCGAGTAGTTTCCAGCTGTAGCAAATTGTATCGCCATGAACTGCCCTCAATCACAAAACCCACATTGGGATGCAAAGGGCGGATCTTCGATAGAGAAAAAAAAAATATATATATAATATGTATCTATAAATATATTATGACTCCGTGTCACGGTCTACGTTGAGACTTTACCTTTGACGAGGCTTCGAACATGCAAAAATATGGCATAGATCGGTAGCTTCATGTTTGTTGGCAATCTCAAAGCATAAAGCCAAATGTTTTATTGTATATCTCAGGTGGTTACACGAGTACAATACATTAGCCAGTTGGGAGTCATTATATCAACCATATCATAGCATACCGAATTTGTGGTTCATCGTTCGGTGTAGCAGAGTAAGATGAGCATGATCCTTGCAACCCGCAGCTAGCACCACCGAGAAGGAATCTCATTAGAAGCGTTTGGAAAAACACAAAACCATGTTGTTTGTAAACGATGGTTGCCAGTATCCAATCTTTGATCTCACCTACACATGCATGGATGTCACGAATCCATATTGTGTGAGAGTAAAGTACAGATATACACATACATTCATTTATCCATGGATTCAATGTGATTACTATCAATATGTGATATTTTAGACATGTCTCTCGAATTTGCTGGCAGCAGCAGTTCTCGGTGTATGTCGCTTTGGCATAGAGTCATATGATCAAGTTCAGTTCGCGCTCACAGCTACAGACTCGCAGACTGTGCAGAACGTTTCTACTAATATCATTCTCATCATTGTCTGAAGAATATCAAAAGAATATCTAGTTTGTAGAATATTAGAAATCATACATCACCATTGTACACGATGATAGTAGTAACTTCAAGCTGAATAGTACAAGTTACATCCATCGATTATAGATGATTTTACCATAAAAATTATCATTTATAGGGCATTTCCCAGCCATTTATAAGGGATTTATTAATTACTATATAACCTTCAAGCGACTTGGCTGAAGATCAAGACCGCTCTTCTTGTCAGTGCGGGGAGACGACCTCCTGCGATGGTGAGATCATCTCATGAATCATAAATAGGTAAAAACTCTGGAGAGAAACTCACCACTCAGTGGTTTATCATAGTTGATGATAGGTGATGATAGTTTATGATAGTTGATCATAGTTCATCCCATCTATCAATCGATGAACTAACCCTGGTGACCAGTAACTAGGTCGGATGATCGTCACCTAAATTGACGCCCCAGAAATCACTGCGAATGGATGAGTGCAAGACCCGAAGATTCATCCCCTTGCTTGTTAATGAATGTATATTTTTATCGCGTTACAAAAAAATGTATTAAATATACCCATCTACACTTGCTTCAGTACTAACATTTTACATGGTCAACAATATTAAACAAAAGGTCAAACGATGCTAAACTTGATTTTGTCATGGCAACACAGCCAGTTAAAACTCCTATTGTGGAAGGAATTTTCAATTTGAAACCCATGTTTTTGCCTTACCCTTATCTCTCCTCCAGGTCGCTCTCGTTCGCCTCATGTCACTACCGCCACCCTGGCAGCACCTGGGCAAACCCATCGCATACTGTTGGTGATATATCTCACTAATTACAGTATATACAACAAATGCATCTATAGTCTATATCTACTATATATCATATGTATAGATATCATATACCTATAAATCGCATAAATGAACTAATTTCATAGCCACAATTTTGTCGTTTCAATTCTTTTAGACCATATCTTTCTCAATGAAGTCTAATTGAACCATATACTATATCCCACAATGTTTTGTCCGCTTCATCTCCAATGTTTCGCAGCAAAATCACCGGCTGTTCATTGTAAAAACTACCCGAGTTGATAATTATGCTAGGTCTTATGTTCCAATATGGGTCGTATTTCATGGGATTATGTCTAATTCGATGGGATCTCCATGTTTTTATGTTCCAATCCCATCCAATCACACAGACTCAGTCATGTTTCTTGGTCAAATTTAATAAAATCGTAACAAAAATCATGTTCATCGCTGCTGTTTCATGGTTGCATCCAATGAAATCATAAAGATTATGGTTAAATCAGCCAAATCCTATGAAGTCACCATTTCCTTGGTTAAGCCATCATGAAACGTTCAGATGGTGAGGAAACATAATTCGACATTTACCGCCGGCCTTCGCATAAAGTGGCAATCAAAGAAAGGCATCCAACTGCGAAACAGCACCCCAACGACGCCGCAGTGGTCGCAGTGTCGATGCGACAGGTCTACGTTTGGCATGGGGATAGGCGGTTGCAAAATGGTAGCTGCTACCATGGACCGTATGAAAAGCATGAACATAATGTGATTAGTTCAAAGGTTGATCAATGTTTCAAAGACCGTACGCTGTGGTTTGAAAGTTGCCTATCTTAAATGCAAAAGCCGGACGTAGCAGGCAAGCCGTGCATGGGCCAAAATTGCTCCCGTTGATGTGGATGATCGTCATGTGCAGGAAAATAGTAATTGAAATCTTAGATTCAGACAAGTGAGTCGCGGCAAGACATCATCTTCCACAGTGGCTGCTGACGTCGTCTTAGTGCCATCATGCTGGGTCATGTTACAATCATGCTGCGCAGTCAAAATATTCAGATGTCACAGAAATGGCTTACCGCGAGCATGTCGAGATAAACTCTGCCCCCGCAGGCAAGATGGAGGGCTCGGATAAAGCACCAGCGAAGAAAATAACAGTAAAAAAGCGTCAGGATGGAGAGACTGTTTGGGGAAGAATTGGGTGGCAGCGGTTGCAGAGAGGGTAGTTGGGATGCAGCGCAGGACGACGCGTAGGGAAGAAGTCGCGAGATAGAGTGATACACGCACGACAGCCATGAGGACACGACAGCGCGAGAAAAAGGTGCGGTCACCACGCGCAAAAGCAATGTAAAGATAGATTTTGGATGTGCGGAGAAATGCCGCGACAAGTTTGCAAAAGCAAGTAATGATGCGTTTCGGAAACGAAGCAAGAAGGCACTTCTTTTTGGAGTATTTGGACCGAAAGCAGGAAGCGCGTACATTGCAGCACAACATAGTCTCTACGAACACACACCGCGGTTGCTTGCAGCTTCGCCAATTGAAAATGCGTGCGGCCGCGTGGAAAGAATTACTACGAGGAATTTTGTCGCATTGCAGTGGAACAACACACTCACAAACCGTGTAATGAGATTGTGATCTCGCAAGTGGTAACTGATTTGCGCAGGACGCAAAAATGTACGATAAAACGTACCGGAGAAGAAAGGAACGGGGTTCAAATGTGGACAAAGAAGAAACGGTGCGCAGGTAAAAACATGAGAATTATGTTCGGACTCGTCACAATGACTCCAATTATGTACAAGAGGACGAACGGCCAAAAATACAATGTATTGTTTGCGCAAAGGTTTAACTAAGTATAGGTTCAAAATGTTTCAAATAGATGTATACATAATGAAACCTTAGGTATAAAGGGCATGCAAGTTCGGAATTGGTGTTAGAAGAGAAAAACATCCAGGTGTTTGTTATGAGGGAACATGTTTTGATGAAAGCCTTGAATCGGAAGCAGCCAGCACGCTTTTTTGACGCTAGCCGCCAGGCGAAGGTGTCCAAGTGGAGAAGCGACTGCAGAGAGCGGCGCGCTCAAGCAGCTCGAGTGCGAAGAAATCTAGTTTCGGAACTTTCTTCGAAACTTCTTTTCTGCAGGAAGGCCGCACGTTGATGGTTCTTCCGATGCTGCTTTTGGATTGCGGCAGTTTCCAGGAACAGATTGCGGGCATGCTGCAGCAAGAGCACAAACAGCAAGCCACGTACAGGTGTCATTCGTCGCGCGGCCACAGCAATGCGTTTCAGAAATGCAAAGGATTGCTCTGCAGCGCTATCATTAAAGCGGCGGAATTGAGCATGCGTTTGCGGCCACACGGAGGGCAAAGGCGAGGTGCCATTGGGCCGACAACCAGAGCGGCCTTTCCGAAAATGAAATTTGTCAATGGCCAGCCTTAATTTTGACAGCGTGCGTGTGATTTTGTTGCGATTGCGACGCTTTTTCGCTGTGATAAATTTCTTCAGAGTGCACGCACAATCGTACCACACCAGAGGAAGATGTTCGTGCAAGAATTGAAGCCGCTCCTTTTTGGAAAGTTTCTTTAGCTCTTTTCCACGAGCGACACTGAAGGAATCCAGGAGTTCCGCTAAAAAGAAGTACACGCCAGTCGGCGACTCGTGTGTGTACACCAATTTAAGGGCTCCAATCACTTGGCACGGCTTCACAGCTGCCAGTTAGCCTCCGCTCCGTCTGGCTTTGGTCATCCGATCCCATTGTGCCCGGCAGCTCTTCCCCTGCTCTTTGTCGGTGAATGTTATTTGTTGGCCCGTGCGCGGTTTGACCTGGCATTCCCGCGATTCGGGATCAAAAAAGGAAGCACCAAACTGCTGTTGGAACCGTAAAGGAACGTGAGAGCTCAACAGCGAGAAGGAGTCTCCAGCAGCAGTCTGAAAGAAATACTTGCGCGAGCGGGAGACTTTGATGACCTTGAGAAGATCCACAGGATAACTGCCGTGAGCATGCACCAAAGCAAACCGCAAAGCTTTGCATAATCGTCGGCAAACTGGGAGACAAGGCAACACACACTGAGCCTGGATTGTGAGCTGGGGCGCGGCAGGATGCAAAAAGGAAAGAACGCGCAACATCAGTGTATCGGAGCCCAGGACTGGATCAGAATCACGCAGATGAACGCAGCAATATTTCTTGCCGGGCATTGGCGGATTTTGGCAGCCGGTAAGGCAATGAGCTTTTAGAAGATTGCAATTCCAAATGCCATCGTCGGTGTTTGCACACAATTTTGTTCGCACCTTAGCATTGCCATCCACGACGAGGACGCCGGTAGAACAAGCGCTGCATTCGTGCATGTGAAGCCAGCGTGTTTGAAAGAGGTTGGTGATTCGTGGCTCAAGGAGGCGACAGAGGGGCTCCATTCTATTGTTGGAAAGAGCCCAATCGATGCTTAAGCTTTCGTCGCCGAGAAACCGCGTCAAAGAATATTGCAGCCAGGTGTCTCGCAGCAATGTTTCAAAGTGCCGGGTTTTGGAAGCAAACTGGATTGAGTTGGCAATGCCGCGAAAGGAACCGCCGCAATTCACCAGAAGATTCGTCACTGTGTCGAGAAAGCTTGCCGCGAAAAGGATATTGGAGGACGTATGGAATGTAGTTGGGGATGCTGTTGATAAATACCGACTTTCTCGGCCACTGGCGGAAGTAGCTTCAATCCATGGGCCGCAATACTTTCGGTGGCACTGAGGACATATGTACGTGCACACTTTGACAAAATTTTGCCTTTCCAAAGTAGCGATGCAAGGCACAACTTTTTCACGCAGAGGTGCCAGCACACGTGAACACGCGACGCATGCAGATACTGGTGGACGCACGCAGTGAAAGGGAACGTACTCCGGGATGTGCAGTGTTGTGCCCAGCAAATGAGGTGCGTGGTTCTCCAGCTTCTGCAGGATGAAATCGCAGTCGGCTGAATCAAGCTGCATTCCAGGATAGGTTTCCCGCAGCATGGCGTGAGCCACCAAGCCTCGGCATTCAGTGTCTGCAAGGTAATTCGCAACAACGAAGACAGGGAGTAAGTCGGCAGAAGCAGGAAAGAGCAGGCGATCAAGTCTAGACGATGTAGAGCCGCCAGTAATTGTCGGGGTCCTGTCTTTAGTTTTCAGATTGAAAATTTTGGCTGCAGAGTCAAATGGGCTGGTGTCATGACAAAAATCATGCAACTTTTGAAGCACGGCATCCATTGACCCGGAATCGAGCAGAGGAGGCTCGGCTGCTTCGCAATCAGTTTTGTAGGCTGTCTTGATGCTGTTTGTGATATTGAGGTGCTGCTGGTTATATTGCTCGCTGTTTGTGGCGAGTTTGTGGTTGAAAACTTTGAGCAAGTTGGAAAATGAGAGTGCCAGATTTTGTTCGACAGGAAAGCGTCTTTTCCTAACCCTGTGCCCTGAACCTTTTTGGATGTAAAAACCAAGTTGCGCATGGTGCAAAAGCGTAAACGCATTGATAACATGATTGCGAGCAACGTCCTTGGCAAGTATCTCGCCCGACTCTGTGTCATGGAGCTTTCGCAACAAAGCGTTTTGTTCAACTATAAGGGACGATGTGGACGTGAGAAGCCATTGGGCACCGACGACGCAATAGAGACGATCACTTGCAGCTAAAGCGTCCCACCATTGCGGAAAGTTCGTGGAGCAATGGGAAAGAGGATCTGGGATAGAAGCTGTTGGGAAGGATTTGCCCTCGAGGAGCGAAACCAAGGAAGGATATTTTTGCGACGCCTGTTGTCGCAAGCTGTTTTGATCCAGGAGCTGCAGCAAATCCGATGCAGGCGACAAGAATTGAGATTGCAGGGACAGATAGTCGAAAATGGTTTTGGACACTTTCACAACAGATTGCGACAACCTACGGCTCCACATTGCATTCTCATTTCCCATCTGGAAGCAAGCATGCCGCCAAGAATGCAAAAGTATCGCAAGCCTCCAAGGCAAAGACTTAAGTTTCCGTGCGTGGCTGAATTTTTTCGGATCTTGTAGGTATGAAAGTTCTTGCTCCAGAACTTGCTGGTCAAAGTGAGTTGAAAAGTACTGAAGCGCATCCGCTGCAAAATAATACGGGATGTAGTCTTTCTCGGATGCATGTGCACGATCCGTGTAAACAAGCACGTCCACAAACCGCCCCAGCAAAGAGGCGTTGTGAAGAGGTGCATCTGCATCGTCGCCACGATATACGTCCGCATCGAGCACGGCATTCGCTTTGTCCAAGCGAGGAGAACTATGGAACGTGAGAAACCGGCTCTGCATGCCCAAGGCTCCATCTTTAGACAAAAACTCGTGCCACTCTTCAATGTGGAAAGTCATGCACAGGCAGAGGCATGTGTGGTGCATGGAGAACCGGTTGTGATCTTTCACAACTGTACGCTTCCAAACAGAACCATTGAACAGCTTGGACATGGTAGAGGCATTGAAGCCCGAACCTTCGCCATTGGACAAGGCGCGCAAGAGGAAACGACCTTCATCGTACATTCCAATGGCACGATGCCCGTTTTGCGACATTTGAAGCCCAATGGCTGGAAGGGAGCCTTCATCAGAAAAGAGCGCGGGCTTATTTTGCCGGATACGTGCAAGCGCTTGTGCCACCGATGTTTTGCGCTTCTTGCTTCCGTCGCCATGCGCGTCGAATCCAAGGTCCTCATCGTCGCCTTCTTCTGCATGCTCGTTTCTAGCTTTTTGCAACGCATCATCGAGCAGATTTTTTTCGAATCCAGAAACAATATCGCACAGGGCTGTCATGATGCCGCTTTTATTCGCGCCGCTATCCAAACAGAGGCCTATCCAAAGAAGGGGTGGCACCAGAAAAAATTCGTTGATATACAAACGAGCTTTGGCGCACGCAGTGCCTAGGAGCGGCAGGAATAAAAGGAATGCCCATTCAAATGGACATCCGGCTTTCTGTGCAAGCAAAGAAGTCATGGGAAAAAAATTCCGGAAGCTCTGCTTCGATCAAGTCCACAGGAAATCGTACCAAGTCTGCAAGCAAATATCTTGCTACGACCTGTGCTCGCTCGGGAGAGCGTTGGTAAATTCGTTGAAATGTTCGATCGAAGACCTCCGGGCTGCAGTGCAAGAGGCTGCTGCATTCATCACGGAGCGACCTTCCCACAGGAGTGTCGGCGGAGCCACGCGGCGCAGAGGAAGAAGCACCAGCTGCAGGCTCGGATGAGGCTGCGCAAGTCGCAAACCGCTGCATGGCGTGCCTGCTTAGACGCGCGGTCAAAGGGGGATCCGCAACATTGAGAGGAACTCGAGCTACGCAAGCTTCGCGCGCCGTGGGTTGAGGTTGCCCCAGCCAAATTTCAGGACAAGACGACGAAGAGGGTACATGGAGCATTGCTTGCACGAAGTGGCCAGTGGAATGAACGAAAACGAACAAGAAGCAGTTGGGGGAACGCAGTTTCTGGATCGCCGCTTGCCAGGAGAGCGGCCGGAAGGAATGAAAGCTAGAGACGTGAAACAAGCAACTGTAGCTGTCAATAATGATCAAGTCCACCACATATGCGGGGGACAAAACCAGGCAAAGCTGCGAAAGACCGCAACCGCAGAGATGCTCGCCAACGCGCTGCAAACATCGACAAGGAGGCATGCGCACAGTGGCTTGCAAAGTTTTCAGAAAGTGAAGACATTCCAGGCGAGTCGATTTGAAACAATAGAAGATGTTCTCTGTGGCTGGTAGATGAAGTGGGACAAGCCCGAAGAGTAGCAGTTGAAGATGCTCTGGAGCTGCAGTCTCGGATAACGCCGGGACAAAGACAGGCTGGCGCACAACGCGGAGGGGGAAATAAAAACCATTCAGCGCGTTGTAAGCTATGCATGGAAAGGCCAATATGCCATATTCAAACGGAGCGCAAGTCCCGTCTGAGAGCAGAAGACAATGTTCAGGCACGCATGGATGCCATGAATAAATTCAAAAGGCACATCAGCGAACCTGCTGGCAGAATCACAAAAGAAAGCATTCCAACTCGGCAAACTCGTGGCAAGTTGAGCACAGGTGTTTGCAAAGACGCTTGGCTCAATCGAGAGAATGCTTTGCAATGCCTTGAAGAAAGATGCCGCTCTAGATTGCGAAGACAAGAAGGCAAGAAAATTGGCGGTCCATTCTTTGACTGCTGCGCGGCATCCCTCTGGAACTGCAAAAGTCTCCAAGTCAGAAGCATCAGACTCAGCGGTTCCATTGCGAATCGCAGTGGCTAAAGAGATCGGCACTGGTGCAACATCGTCATCATTGGTCGATGTCAACGTGCTTGGCACTGTGAGGGACGAATTTGGACAGGAAGGCAAAGGCGGCGCGGCATCACCTCGGGCAAGCGGTGAGGTGCTCGCATCCGAGCTCGAATCCGAAGCATCACACCACAATGGCCGGCCTTTCAAGCTGGTGGAACCTCCGGCGCTGCCGCCCTGGACACAAGGACAATTCGCCCACAAAAGTTCAGTTGTAGAAGCGCCATCCGCAATATGTGCCCAGCAGAGACAAGATTCCGGGCCAAAGTGCAAAGTAGGTTGTGCAGCACGCGCGTCGCGCAAAATCGTAAGGTAAACGTGCACAAGGGAACTTAAATCACTCAGAGTCGGGCTGCCGGCGTCTTGGGAAGGCACGCGCACGAACGCGGAGAAAGGCTGATCAATTGGGAAGAAGCGACGCGTTGGCCTTCCTAGTCACTGGATGTCGTTGATTCACTCGCTGTCCAGCGCAGGTGCCGCCTCTGGTGGAGCACCAATGGGGCGTCTCGGCCGGGAGGCGACCTGAACGAGGCGGAAACCAGGAAATCACTTGAGAACAAATGTCACAAGTGCTGTAGGAAAATGTAAGATACAACAAGATATATATGTAAAAAAGTGCAAACAAAAAGAGCGCTGCTATAGACAATGCTCCACAAGAACTCTTGAATTTGTGGGAAGCTTCTTCACCTAGGTTGTGGGTCTCAAGTGGCACCAGCAGCGTGAGTCATGCAACCAGTGATGTCAACGGACGTAAACCGCTGGGACGCGGATTGCACAGGCTAGCAAGATCCACAAAGACTCTATAGAGGCTTTGGAGGAGACCAGGAATCCCGACAGGCGTTGCAGAGAAGCTGGTGCGCAGGGATGCATCCTGCCATGCACTACTTGGGCTCTGGCTCTCAGTGGTAGCCGTAATGGTCGCCAAGTCAAGAATTAGAGCCAACGAAAGAGAGATTGGAACTCACCCAACGTATCTTCTGCTGGAGGGATTGCAGATGTGCATCACCAGAAGTAGCCACGGAAATGATGACCATCTTACAATATCTCACAACATCTGACAATACTCTACGATCCTATCCAAAGCTAGTATCTTTCAATAGCTCGCAGGCCCGGTTAGATATTGCCAGTCACCTTCCTAGTCACTGGATGTCGCTGGTTCACTCACTGTCCAGCGCAGTTGGCGCCTCTGGTGGGGCACCAATGGGGCGTCTCGGCTGGGAGGCGACCTGAACGAGGCGGAAACCAGGACATCACTTGAGAAGAAATGTCACAAGTGCTGTAGGAAAATGTAAGATACAGCAAGATATATATGTAAAAAAGTGCAAACAAAAAGAGCGCTGCTATAGACAATGCTCCACAAGAACTCTTGAATTTGTGGGAAGCTTCTTCACCTAGGTTGTGGGTCTCAAGTGGCACCAGCAGCGTGAGTCATGCAAACAGTGATGTAAACCGACGTAAACCGCTGAGACGCGGATTGCACAGGCGACCAGAATCCACAAAGACCCTATAGAGAATTTGGAGGAGACCAGGAATCCCGACACGCGTTGCAGAGAAGCGGGTGCGGACGGTTGCATCCTGCCATGCACTACTTGGGCTCTGGCTGGTCGCCAAGTCAAGAATTAGAGCCAACGAAAGAGCGATTGGAACTCACCCAACGTATCTTCTGCTGGAGGGATTGCACATGTGCAGCACCAGAAGCAGCCACGGAAATGATCGCCACATCTTACAATATCTCACAACATCTCACAATAATTCTACGAGCCTATCCACAGCTAGTATCTTTCAATAGCTCTCAGTCAGGGTTAGATATTGCCAGTCACCTTCCTAGTCACTGGATGTCGCTGGTTCGCTCACTGTCCAGCGCAGTTGGCGCCTCTGGTGGGGCACCAATGGGGCGTCTCGGCTGGGAGGCGACCTGAACGAGGCAGAAACCAGGACATCACCTGAGAACAAATGTCACAAGTGCTGTACGAAAATGTAAGATACAGCAAGATATATATGTAAAAAATGAAAACAAAAAGAGCGCTGTTATATACAGTGCTCCACAAGAACTCTTGAATTTGTGGGAAGCTTCTTCACCGAGGTTGTGGGTCTCAAGTGGCACCAGCAGTGTGAGGCATGCAAACAGTGATGTAAACCGACGTAAACCGCTGCGACGCGGATTGCACAGGCTACCAGGATCCACAAACACCCTATAGAGGCTTTGGAGGAGACCAGGAATCCCGACAGGCGTTGCAGAGAAGCTGGTGCGGACGGTTGCATCCTGCCATGCACTACTTGGGCTCTGGCTCTCAGTTGTAGCCGTAAGGGTCGCCAAGTCAAGAAGTAGAGCCAACGAAAGAGAGATTGGAACTCACCCAACGTATCTTCTGCTGGAGGGATTGCACATGTGCATGACCAGAAGTGGCCACGGAAATGATCGCCACATCTTACAATATCTCACAACATCTGACAATACTCTACGATCCTATCCACAGCTAGTATCTTTCAATAGCTGTCAGTCACGGTTAGATATTGCCAGTCACCTTCCTAGTCACTGGATGTCACTAGTTCACTCGCTGTTCAGCAAAGTTGACGCCTGTGGTGGAGCTCCAATGGCGCGTCTCGGCTGGGAGGCGACGTGCGAGGCACTCCTCAGAGAGTGGAAAAGTGTTCAAAGATGTTAGAACGGAAACAAATGTTCGATACCGTTGAAAAGCCCTGCGCAGATCGTTGCTGTGTCTCTTGTCCCCGCTCCCCGTTGTCCCCATCTGAACTAAGGCACAAGGTTGCAGAAATGCCCGCACTAGACACCTTGCCAACGCTTCACAAGGTGAAGTCGCAAGAGTGTCTCAAGACAAGCAATCTGCAAACTGCAAATTGTACTGCATCGTGTATTACTGCATCTGTATCAGGTAAGAGAAAGATAGACAAAGGTAGGAAACTCGACCAATGGAATAGAGGCACACTGCTCGGGCGTGGCCGAGTCCTAGCTCTCGGACTTCGACTTCGCCGCTGCCTCAGTAGCATTGACACACACAGGGTGGCAGCACTTTCCGGTGAACACCCAAAAGAACAGAAGTAGATTATTATTATGTGATATTATTTCGTATATTTTGTGGGGGCGATTGCCAGCCTGCCTGTTGGATTCTTGGGTCGGGCCACCACCCAATAAAAGGTGAGAATTCGCACTGGGCATGCCTAGAGTCTGGAGTCGACGACGGGGCGACCACCCTGGAGATCAATAATATCGGGAAACTGTTTTATGTTTTATCAGGTGTTTCTATTTCACTTCCAGATTTCAACCAGAGTGAGGAATGGAGTCCCAAAGGGCCCTCGAGTTGTCTGGGGCATTCTGCTTCCATCCTGTCTTCCATCTTGACATATCGTGACAGATTGACATAGGCTGTGCTGTCAAAGTCTCATGAATCGGGAGCAGAAACACCATGAAAGACCCAAGAATCCACTCTTTCTGGGAACTGGTCGTTTCACAAAACAACTTCTTGGTGCTATTCTTTGTTCGGTAACAAAGTTACAAACTATCCAGTTTGTACATGAAATTACATGACATATCAACCACTAGTACCACTACTAAATGATTTCCGTTGCTGCTCTGCGGCCCGAGGCGCGCCATGCGGCCCAATGCGCAAGGAGACGGTTGGAGACTCAAATGGTGTGGAATGAACGTTGACACCGAAATATCCAGGGTGAGAATGCAAATGATGACAGGGACTGGTTCTCATTTCAGGGATAAGCATACAAATCGATACAAATCGTACGTATAATATCGTATAATATCGGTGCATCAGCCAGAAAGGGGTTTTCATCCCTCAACGGAGATCTCATTTGATTGTCACCAAATGTCAACAACCATTCCAGGTTTGACATCTTTTGACGCCCATCAAGTTGTCAGGGAGTTAACTTGGGCCAAGCTGCACAGGAAGACACACCACGTCCGCCCATGCCCAAGTAACTGAGAATGCAAAAATGTGGAGGTGGTTGAATGTGGCTGATACCCGATCTCCAATCGCGTGTGGCAACATCTCACGCAAGACTGAGGAACCGTCAAACAGACTTTCTGCAGTTCTGCATATCGTTGGTACCTGCGGTAGGGAATAATGTTTGCATGGAGGCAGGTGGGCAAAGGCACTTTTGGTACGTGGAACAACTGGGCAAAATCTGTTCACCTGTTTTCAGACGCCGTGAACATAGAGAAATGTGTACTCATCTAGACTCTTTAAACGGAAAAATGAATGGACATGTCTATGCTTTGTCTGAGCTGATGTAAGTTGAAAGAGACAACAGTTTGAAAGTCGTGTTGAAATCCGTCCTGGTTCAAAAAGGTAGCAGGCGTTTGACAAAGAGTGTTGAACATCGTTCTGTGTAGAGTGGAATTTCTTCAATCTTTCAACTCTTCGTTCCGCGGACCGGAACTCGAATGAAACCAAAATAGATATGACTTGAAAGTCATCGCAGCGCATCTTAGGTGACGCAGCCTCGAAGTTTCACCGGTGATCTGAATGCTCTTCCTCTTCCGGATTCCCTTGGGAACACAGGGAAACTTTGAAACGCACAACGAACACACATGCAAGAAATGGCGAAACAATTCGAGGAACAAGGTCAAAAACGAAAAAAACATACATCAAAAAGCATCGACTGTGGTAAAGCTTTAGCATTCAACATCTGTCCCGTTCAAAATGATTCTTGGTCAGCCAAGGGACAACTCTGTTCAGACTCAATCTCCTGAGTTGCTTCAGTGTAAAACGTGGAATGGTACGTTTCAAAATATAAAAAGTGTGCTAGCAAGAAATCTGAAAAAGTGCAGAGTAGGACTCGGAAGCAAATGTTTTCCATACAAACAACCTTACCTGTAGGACCTCAATTCTAGAACTCCATACCAGGATTTTTAATAGAAAATCACAAGATCGTGATCGAAGGACCTTCTATACCAGTAGTACCGCACAAGGCGGTGGCAGAAGTTTCAAAATAGGATACCAAAAGGAGAGGTTCATTCTTGTGAACCAGGAATGGCAGAGTGAACCTACTGATGAATAGAAAGGTGGTTGTCTATCTATCTATCTATCTATCTAGCTATCTAGCAGTCTATCTATCTATCTGCAAAATGACATCTGCACGTCAAAAAGCGCTTCAAACCTCCAGTTTCTCTTCTGCCTGTCTTCTCTGGCTCTTCACCTCTCTGCTTTTTATCTGTCTTTATTGTTGGACGTTAGACTTCCAAACTTCCTCCGATAAAGTATCTTAGAAAATTTTCTGGCAAGAACTTCCTGTGAGCATTCACAGGAGTTTCCAGACAAGCACCTTTAATCCAGAAGATCGACAAGATCTGAGTGCCAAACTTCTCAGACAGAATTGGAACAGCATCTCACAAGATATGCTCGCAAGACTGGCCATGGACAGACACAGAGCTTCGCACCAATGCATTGACAAGATCGTGCAACGGCATTTCGCTGTAGGAGTCACTTGTACATGACACGAAGACGATAACACAAAAGAATGTTGAAACCATGATCCAATGGAAAGGCGGTTCAGCTGGGCTGAACGAGAAAGTTTGCAACTGAGGCACTTCCACTGGGCTGACTAAAAAATTGACAGGTGCAACTGAGGTGGAGTGAGTCAACACGAGTTGAAAGAATTGAGATGAGAAGAAAGAGATTAAAGGAAAGTGGAAGAATGGTGCCAAAATCTGAGAGACAAGAGCTCAGAAGTTTTGGAAAGATGATGGAAGTCTGCTGCCACTCCTATAGGCAAAACTAGTTTTTGAATCCTATGGCGGTATACTTCTTAAACCTGGAAACTTCCGCCACCCGGCTCGCCCGGGATCTGCTTGTAGCTGTTCGGAACATGAACAATTCCCACAAGAACACAAGAAAGGATTTCCCGCATATTTTCCACAAGGTATTCCTACCAGGAAAATGAATGCAAGATCGTGCAAGAAAGCCTAACAAAGAATTCAACAGGATCTCAAAAGTCTCACAAGGAACTGTGCAAGGACCTCTGAGACAAAACTTCGCGAGGCAGCGCAAGAACATGCCAGAATCTTCTAGAAGGAATTCACTTGGAGCTGCATCGATGCAAGATCATGCAAGAAACGCGTAGGCAGGACTTCACCAGGATCTTTTGCTCAGAAGGCGAGAACAAGAATTCCTCCTAATGCTTGCATACAAGCAGCCATTTCGGATTCCACCCCTTCGTCAGGAAAGTCGTCGTTGCCGTGATCGGAAACCTACGAACGCATTGACCAGAATGATCTGGAAAAAAATAATCCAACAACGAATCATGGTGGCTCCTTGCTGCAAGTGTCTCCTTGGAGACTAGGCTTGGACAAGAATGAGTTGTAACCTAGACAGTTTTCTCATAATGTTTGCATACAAGGAGCCATTGGAGATTCCACCGCTTCGTCAGGAAGGTCGTCAGAGGCATCGGCAACATGTACAGGTGAGAGTGGTGGCGACATGCGCCTAAGCAGCCAACTCACTGATGTGCATCGTTGCACGGATAATGTAAAAGATCTTCGCATAGGAACAGCCCGAAACAAACAAGTTGAAGAAACCTGTGATACAATGCTGTAGTTACCAAGGACAACAATTTAAAGGTGAAATATATATATGGCAAAGTGACCACCGAAACCAAACTTCCCATTCTACAAGGATTTCAACCTGATGCCGTTTGCTTTCTTTGCCACGATGAGGCACTTTGGAATTGTCCTCTTCGTGGTTGCTCTGATCCAAAGATCCTGAGTCACAGAGCATCACAAGCGTCAAACATTCCATGGTTCCGACAACATGTGAAATCCAAAAGTCTATGTCCAAGAGAGGAGATTGGAAATGACGCAAGAATTTCATCGAGAATGCTCTGATCTTGATTGTTATATGCGTTCAGTAATGACACTAATCGTGAAGCGGAAAGAGATGCGGAAGAACATATCCCAATTTCACTCTGCTTTTACCTGTTAGTAAGCTACAGCGGTGGCCGCCCGAATTCAACAAGATAGCTGGGGGCCTGACATCGTCGTGCTTGAGCTCAAATCGGTTTTTCGCATCGCGTTCCACAATTTGGAACAATTCCTGTCAAGGACGCGTCCCCAACAGCTTGGGTTCAGTTCCTCTGCAGTTAATTGCTCGGGTGCATAAATATCAGGATGTGACTGGTTTCTTTTGTAAATTTGAAGAAAGTAAACATTTAGAGCCATAGGCCGCCCAGAACTTGTCTCCTCGGTGGTCAAAGATCCATCAGTGCGGTTGCCAAAGCAATGAAGCTTTAGCACCTAGCAGGGGAGACAGATGAAATGCGAAACGAATCGTGAGCTACAAATGAAACTTTCTGCAATACAAGCGTAACGCGGAGAATGCCTGCCGAACGGGGATGAATCCCTGTCGAGAGACAAAGCACCCGAGGCTTTCCTGGGGTCGAGCCCAGTGAACTTTCAGGATCTCCAAAAGCATGTGAGAAAATTGAGATGGAATCCCCAAAATTGTTTTCTTTGTTAAGTTTGGTCATGTTGTTGAATCTGCAAATGTCCACAGGCACTCTAGACGAGGAACACCTGAATAGCGAAGCACTTTTGTGAGGTCAAAGCTGATGGACCTTGAAGCCCAGCAAGCAGCAACCCCCCCATAAAGAATTGACAAGAAGGATCCAAACGATCTGTTGCGAGCACGTGGAAAATCAATGCATTCATGTCAAAAGTAGTAAACGCACTGCGAATTGCATTTGCCAAGCCCAGCGACTGCAGACGCTGATCACTTAGGCGACGATTGGGAACAAGACTGACTGCACGCGGCGCCAGACCAACAGATCTCGGAGCAGCCGTGGAGCTATGGATGTCCCATCACCCAATGTTTGCACAAATCTGGAAAACAATTGACCGCACATTTTGATGGAATTTGTTCTGAAAAGCTTGCGCCAACAGCTTTGCAGTTTGGGCGTCGCTACGTGCCAACGAAGCTATGCCCGTACTCGCTGCCAAGAGATGGGCAACTGTGCCAACAACGCTTTGCTCCGTGCCCACAGAGCGGCCTACTCCTACTACCTACTACTACTACTACTACTGCTACTGCTACTGCTACTGCTACTGCTACTGCTACTACTACTACTACTACTATACTATACTACTACTATACTATACTACTACTACTATACTACTACTATACTACTACTATACTACTACTATACTACTACTACTACTACTACTACTACTACTACTACTACTACTACTACTACTACTACTACTACTACTACTACTACTACTACTACTACTACTACTTACTACTTACTACTTACTACTTACTACTTACTACTTACTACTTACTACTTACTACTTACTACTTACTACTTACTACTACTACTTACTACTACTACTCACTACTACTACTTACTACTACTACTTACTACTACTACTTACTACTACTACTACTACTACTAGTACTAGTACTAGTACTACTACTACTACTACTACTACTACTACTACTGCGACTACTACTAGTGCTACTGCTACTACTACTACTACTACTCCTACTACTACTATTACTCCTACTCCTCCTCCTCCTCCTCCTACTACTACTACTGCTACTACTACTACTATTACTGCTACGACTACTACTACTACTACTACTACGACTACTACTGCTACTACTGCTACTACTACTACTACGACTACTACTACTGCTACTACTACTACTACGACTACTACTACTACTACTACTACTACTACTACTACTACTATACTACTACTGCTACTACTACTACTACTACCACCACTACCACTACCACTACCACTACCACTACCACTACCACTACTACCTACTCCTACTACCTACTCCTACTACCTACTACCGCTACCACTACTACTACTACTACTACTACGACTACGACTACGACTACGACTACGACTACGACTACGACTGAGACTACGACTACGACTACGACTACGACTACGACTACACTACTACTACTACTGCTACTACTACTACTACTATATACTACTACTACTATACTACTACGACTACTACGACTACTACGACTACTACGACTACTACGACTACTACGACTACTACGACTACTACGACTACTACGACTACTACGACTACTACGACTACTACGACTACTACGACTACTACTACTACTTCTACTACTACTACTACTTCTACTACTACTACTACTACTAGTACTAGTACTAGTACTAGTACTAGTACTACTACTACTACTACTAGTACTACTACTACTACGACGACGACTACGACTACTGCTACTACTACTTTTACTATTAATACTACTACTACGACGACTACGACTACTGCTACTACTACTTTTACTATTAATACTACTACTACGACGACTACTACTACGACTACTACTTCTACGAATAGTACTACAACTCACGGTTCCACGGCTGAGCCGTGGAGCCGTGCGGCCGCGGCTGGGCTCCACGGTTTCACAGCTGAGCCGCCACGGCTGCGCTCCACGAATCCACGGCTCAGCCGTGGAACCGTGCGGCCACGGCTGGGCTCCACGGTTCCACGGCTGAGCCGCCACAGCTGCGCTCCACGAATCCACGGCTCAGCCGTGGAACCGTGGAGCCCAGCCGTGGCCGTACGGTTCCACGGCTGAGCCGTGGCTCCAACCACGGCTCAAACCGTGGAGCCCAGCCGTGGCCGTACGGTTCCACGGCTGAGCCGTGGAACCGTGGAGCCCAGCCGTGGCCGCACGGTTCCACGGCTGGCTGAGCCGTGAGAACCGTGGAAACCGTGAACCGTACACGGTTCCACGGCCACGGCACGGTTCCGAAATATCATGAAATATCATGTATATGTATTGAATTTACTACTTTACTGTTATGTTCTGCATCTTCACCTCCAAGAAGTTTTAAACGTGAACATGTTAGTCAAACTTGTTGTGATCATTGATCTCCGACCTCCAAGATTGTGTGTGTTCGTCCAGTGCCAGCCAACCTGCGGTTGGTCAGTCGGCCACGACAGCCACGACAGCCACGACAGCCACGACAGCCACGGCACTTCAAGGATCAGTCGGTTGGGTGTCAACTGCACAGTCGATTTATGTCGATTTGGTGTACCTTGGATCATGATTGGCCATATCAAAGCCAGGTACAAGTAGACGATAGTGCTCACCTTCAGGTAATGGCAGGCCTCCCGCACAGTCGATTTGCACTTGCCACGTTTCATCACCTTAACCTCCTGTTTCCCATGTCACCTTGCACCCTTTTTAAGTTCTATGATTCTATGACCTGCCACATCATTTACCCAACCACGCCTGCATGAATTAGCAAGTCTCGTGAAAAATCGACGCATCGGCTCCAAAGAACCTGCTAGTTGACTCAGAGATCCCGCTGAGCCATTGCAACAGCTGCTGATAGTGTCTCTACGTATCTTGTGGTCACTTGGATGTGGGTCAAAATGGAAGACCTAGGGGACCACAGATGTTAGTCTAGTTTAGTATTAACCATCCATAATTTTGGGGTACCTAATTTTGACCCATACTCACTTCTTGTTCTCAATCACAAGATGATTTTTGAATGTCCATCCAACATCAGCTTCATGATTTTTCAGAAGACTTTTCAAACAGGCAGTAACACCCACGCCAAGGCACTGACTTTGCCCAGAAATAGGCATCAAAGTCGATTCCATTCTCCTGGAACTGGGTCATGAAGAGAGATGAAACAACTTTGAGGGAGCTTACTTTGAAGCACAAAAGAAACAAACATCAACGGTCAACGCCAAAGGAAAGGTTTACCTCAACCATAGCAAGAAATTACACGAGTTTACCTACGACAAGATGCAAAATGTCCTGCAACATTCCTAGGAAGCCGCACGCTTCCGCTGCCCGCATCAGAGCAGAGAAATCTCCCTTCACCTGACGAAGGTGCCAGGCAATGCTCAAATCGGTTTGAAGTTTCATTGTAATTTGTTTTCCCGTTCCTGTGCAAAGAATTTGTCTTAAATCGGTTTGATGTTTCATTGTATTGTTTCTTCCCTTTCCTGTGCGAAGGATTTGTCTAAAAAATCGGTTTGAAGTTTCATTGTAATTTGTTTTCCCGTTCCTGTGCAAAGAATTTGTCTTAAATCGGTTTGAAGTTTCATTGTATTGTTTCTTCCCTTTCCTGTGCGAAGGATTTGTCTAAAAAATCGGTTTGAAGTTTCATTGTAATTTGTTTTCCCGTTCCTGTGCAAAGAATTTGTCTTAAATCGGTTTGAAGTTTCATTGTATTGTTTCTTCCCTTTCCTGTGCGAAGGATTTGTCTAAAAAATCGGTTTGAAGTTTCATTGTAATTTGTTTTCCCGTTCCTGTGCAAAGAATTTGTCTTAAATCGGTTTGAAGTTTCATTGTATTGTTTCTTCCCTTTCCTGTGCGAAGGATTTGTCTAAAAAATCGGTTTGAAGTTTCATTGTAATTTGTTTTCCCGTTCCTGTGCAAAGAATTTGTCTTAAATCGGTTTGAAGTTTCATTGTATTTTTCTTCCCTTTCCTGTGCGAAGGATTTGTCTAAAAAATCGGTTTGAAGTTTCATTGTAATTTGTTTTCCCGTTCCTGTGCAAAGAATTTGTCTTAAATCGGTTTGAAGTTTCATTGTATTGTTTCTTCCCTTTCCTGTGCGAAGGATTTGTCTAAAAAATCGGTTTGAAGTTTCATTGTAATTTGTTTTCCCTTTCCTGTGCGAAGGATTTGTCTAAAAAATCGGTTTGAAGTTTCATTGTAATTTGTTTTCCCTTTCCTGTGCGAAGGATTTGTCTAAAATTGGTTTGAAGTTTCATTGTATTTGTTCCCTTTCCTGTGCGAAGGATTTGTCTTAAATCGGATTGAAGTTTCATTGTAATTGTTTTTCCCGTTCCTGTGCGAAGGATTTTAAATCGGATTGAAGTTTCATTGTAATTGTTTTTCCCGTTCCTGTGCAAAGAATTTGTCTTAAATCGGTTTGAAGTTTCATGTAATTGTGTTTCCCTTTCCTGGGCGAAGGATTTGTCTTAAATCGGTTTGAAGTTTCATTGTATTGTTTCTTCCCTTTCCTGTGCGAAGGATTTGTCTAAAAAATCGGTTTGAAGTTTCATTGTAATTTGTTTTCCCGTTCCTGTGCAAAGAATTTGTCTAAAATCGGTTTGAAGTTTCATTGTATTGTTTCTTCCCTTTCCTGTGCGAAGGATTTGTCTAAAAAATCGGTTTGAAGTTTCATTGTAATTTGTTTTCCCGTTCCTGTGCAAAGAATTTGTCTTAAATCGGTTTGAAGTTTCATTGTATTGTTTCTTCCCTTTCCTGTGCGAAGGATTTGTCTAAAAAATCGGTTTGAAGTTTCATTGTAATTTGTTTTCCCGTTCCTGTGCAAAGAATTTGTCTTAAATCGGTTTGAAGTTTCATTGTATTGTTTCTTCTCTTTCCTGTGCGAAGGATTTGTCTAAAAAATCGGTTTGAAGTTTCATTGTAATTTGTTTTCCCTTTCCTGTGCGAAGGATTTGTCTAAAATTGGTTTGAAGTTTCATTGTATTTGTTCCCTTTCCTGTGCGAAGGATTTGTCTTAAATCGGATTGAAGTTTCATTGTAATTGTTTTTCCCGTTCCTGTGCGAAGGATTTTAAATCGGATTGAAGTTTCATTGTAATTGTTTTTCCCGTTCTTGTGCAAAGAATTTGTCTTAAATCGGTTTGAAGTTTCATGTAATTGTGTTTCCCTTTCCTGGGCGAAGGATTTGTCTTAAATCGGTTTGAAGTTTCATTGTATTGTTTCTTCCCTTTCCTGTGCGAAGGATTTGTCTAAAAAATCGGTTTGAAGTTTCATTGTAATTTGTTTTCCCTTTCCTGTGCGAAGGATTTGTCTAAAATTGGTTTGAAGTTTCATTGTATTTGTTCCCTTTCCTGTGCGAAGGATTTGTCTTAAATCGGATTGAAGTTTCATTGTAATTGTTTTTCCCGTTCCTGTGCGAAGGATTTGTCTTAAATCGGTTTGAAGTTTCATGTAATTTGTTTTCCCGTTCCTGTGCAAAGAATTTGTCTTAAATCGGTTTGAAGTTTCATTGTATTGTTTCTTCCCTTTCCTGTGCGAAGGATTTGTCTGAAAAATCGGTTTGAAGTTTCATTGTAATTTGTTTTCCCTTTCCTGTGCGAAGGATTTGTCTAAAATTGGTTTGAAGTTTCATTGTATTGTTTCTTCCCTTTCCTGTGCGAAGGATTTGTCTTAAATCGGATTGAAGTTTCATTGTAATTGTTTTTCCCGTTCCTGTGCGAAGGATTTGCCTTAAATTGGTTTGAAGTTTCATTGTACTGTTTTGTCCCCTTTCCTGTGCGAAGGATTTGCCTTAAATCGGTGTGAAGTTTCATTGTATTGTTTCTCTTTCCTGTGCGAAGGATTTGTCTTAAATCGGTTTGAAGTTTCATTGTAATTCGTTTTCCCTTTCCTGTGCGAAGGATTTGTCTAAAATCGGTTTGAAGTTTCATTGTTTTGTTTTCTCATTTCCTCTGCGAAGGATTTGTCTTAAATCTGTTTGAAGTTTCACTGTATTGTTTCCCTTTCCTGTGCGAAGGATTTGTCTTAACACTGTATGAACTTTCTTTGTCAATCTTTGTCCTTTTTCCTGTGCGAGGGATTTGTCTTAAAACCGTTTGAAATTTCATTGTCATTTTTCTAGCATTTTCTGTGCGAAGGATTCGTCTTCAAACGGTTTCAAGTTTCACTGTCAATATTTTTCCCATTTACTGTGCGAAGAACTTGTCTTAAAACGGTATAAAGCTTTGCTGCCAGTCTTTTGTTAGCCTTCTACCTTTTTTCTATGGGTAGAATTTATCTCAACACCGTTTCAAGTTGCGTTGCCAGTCTTTTGGCAGCCTTCTGCTTTGTTTTTGTGTGCAAAGGATTTGTTGTCATTTTTCTTTTTATTTTTCTGTGCGAAGAATGTCTTAAAACGGTTTGAAGTTTGAATGCCAGTCGTTTGTCACCTTTTTTTTTCATGTGGGGAGGGATTTGTCTTAAACCAGTTTGAAGTTTGAAGTTTAGTTTTTTGTTTTTTTCTGTATAAAGGATTCGTATCTGAATTTGATGTTTTGTTTCCTGCGTCTCAATGAAGTTGTTTGGCTGAAAGTGTGAAGGTCCTTGACAGGTTGGTGCTATGTGTTCGATAGAAGCTTTTCTTTGAAAGGGTCTGAAATTGCCAATCTGTTTCCCATTTTCTGATCAAAGAATTTGGCTGAAACAGTCTGAAGTTTCATTGCCACTCTTTTGCCTTTGCCGATCAAAAGTGTCAATGTCAATCGCTTGCCCTTAGTCTCTTTTCTGTCGGAAAAAAAAGCTATCAAAACGGTCTGTAAACATTGTGTCTTTGACTCCTTGGAGTATGTACCTCATGTTTCACAAGGATTGTGATTAATGTTGTTTTCACGAAGCTTGGAGAAATCGTTCCATCAATTCATGGACAAAAATGGTGGACATTTGTCACTTTCAGAGTGGGTCAAACTTGGACAGCCCGAAGATTGGATGATTTATACTGGCAATCACCAACACTTGTTGGTTCCCCCTGAATTGTAAATTGCAACTAGTTTACCATACCCATGGATCTGATTTGTAGTTTTCTGAATCTTAAAAATTGACCCATCCAAACTCCTGACTTATCTTTAAAAAAAAAAACGTCATCAGCAAGCCAGAAACAGCCCAAGACACTTTTCACCCATGCCCATCGTCCAGCGTGGATCCCACGGACCGCTACGTCCAAATTGGCCCAAAAACATTGGGAAGCAAAACCAAAAAGAAACTCTATGAGCTCCATGATCTTTAGGACATGGTGAAACATCATTTTGGATGAAAACCCAGGTTGCGCTGTTCAGAAAACGAAAACAAAATCTGTGCCAGAAATGAAAACCTGCTGCACCTCAAGATCCTTGATGCCCTTAGTAGATCGGCAAAGGATCCAATGAACGTATAAAATCATATAAAATATGATGATCCAAATTGCATAGTTGCACCAATTCATGCCATGTTTATGATCCCTTTTTTTCAGAAAAAAGCACCTTTTTATCCAAGGTTGTAGCCACCATCCCAGAGACGCATCGCCTGCGCTTTTAGTCGTCTGGCCGTGTTTTGCAGATCGGCTTCTCCCAACTCAAGCAACTCTGCCTGAAACATAACAAAACGGGCACCTGGAGATAATACCAATCAATACTAGAAATTCATCAAATGAATACTACATCCAATACAAAAGTACATACATTATGTACATGTAGATAGATACACATATACAATCATGTGTAATTCATATATCATATATATATACACATATTATATATATACATATCTTTATAGCAATACGTATTGTAATGCTTTGAACACTACTAGCTGCTACATCTCCCATCATCGCCTCTGACCAATGCGGAAGCATATCAAAGCTCCTTGGAAGGGACTTGAGGTGCTCAGCATTCCAACCTCAGCAGTGCGAACCGAAGGGCTTGGTTTGGGGGAAAAAAAACATGAAAAGTCGTTCTTGCTGGGGGAGTGTATATAATATAATATAATATAATATAAGATAATATAAGATAACATAAGATAATATAATATAATATAATACAATATATATATATATTATATTGTTATATATAATCAAATTAATATAGGCTATACCGCGTTAAGAGTCCGTGATTGAGGGGTTTCAAAGAACTCCATTTTTCCAGACACACACTTAAAAAAAAACAAAAAAAATTGGCGTCCCACCTGCATCCATCTTGGAGCGCTCCAAGAGGAGATGCAGTGCCATGACATCTTCATCCCCAGATGCCAAGTGATGTTTTTGCAACGAGCTCAGTTCCTGGATCCGATCCATTGGGATCCTCATCTGATTCCCACTGGATTTCCCATGAAACGTGGGAAAGTCATCAGCAAATCCAGGGAAAACCCGAAATGGGATTCTCCAAATTCGTCACGGATTTCAGTTCACGCAAAAAAACATGTTACGGGTAAAAGGAAGAAAAATCTGGCGAGACATCATAATATGACGGTATCTATTCATATCCAGACGAACCACAGTTGTCATGAGCAAAGTTGTGTTTCTCCAAGTAGTATTACGAATATGAACATGATATGTAATTGTACAAAACCTGTGCGTCACAATTACCAAAGCAGCATTCCAAGAGTTTGGATTTCAAAAAGTTCACAGTTTCCTTGCAATTTCTAAATGGTCTAAAAGAGACAATGAACGTGATTCTGATAGTGATACCCTCTGGTAAACTAACATAGCTACGGAAAATCACCATTTACAATAGGAACATCAACTATAAATGGCCATGTTCAATAGCTATGTCAGTCATTACCAGAGGGCAATCCTTTTTTTTTCGCCATCAGTTTCCCACAAGTTGATGTAGAGCTCCAGCGCCAAAAAATCACCGAGGGACCGTCCTTGTAGGCCTCTCGTGCTTTGGCAGCAGACCAACACTTTGCGAAAGGAACCTGCCACCGGGGTCTCCCGGAATCCCACGAATCACTGGAATCACTGCTGCCAGCTGATATGGAAGCACAGCCACCAAACCAACGAGGCTTTGAACTGGGAACACACTGGGAACACAGGGACCTTCAGGTAAATCTGTCCCTTGTTGATACGGCTGGTGGCTCGAAAGCCGCGGCCTCGAACACACGATGTTGGGATGAGGACCCATGAGGACCCTGAGAAGTGGATGATGACTGAGTATCTACAAACAGTGGAGTAGTGTGAAGCATCTACGAGTCAGTTGCATGTATAATATCCCATGGAATCCCAATGTAGCAAAAATGTGAGCATTTTTGAAACATCCCAGCAGAGTGCAAGCAAGCAAAGGCATCAGTGTCTGCTCTGATTCGACCTGTGGGAAAATCCCATACGACCACCAGCGCATCTGGCCCTAGTTCCATGGCCCGACTTGTTGTTCCGTAGAATTTTCTCACGTCGGATGAACGCATTGTGCTCAGTCTATCCGAATCTATCTTGAAAAAACACAAACCCTGCTCTGTTTCAATTCTTCCACATTCAAACAAAACCACACAACTCGTTGATGCCCGTTGCTATGCCCAAGACCTGTTTGCACTGCTCTGTTTCATAATGTGTCGGGATGTGATGTGCTTTGCAATTGTCTTCTGGATATTTGTCATTCCTAGTTGTCATTCCCAGTTTGGACATTGAATGATTTAATACAGCAGCACATCTGCCCTGTCCGCAACAAGGGGTTACATCCCACCGTTCTGGGAAGATCATCGGGCTGCGTTTGGACATCCGCAACTGCAATTCTGATATTTCCATGCAAGCAGTGTTAACCCCTGAACCTTCTGATTCTGTTTGATTAAGAAACAAAAATATTGAAAACAAAAAAATGAAACAAATATCATGATACACCACGGAAGAAGCAAATACCATGATACCCCAAAAACTAAATATCCTGAATTTGGGTATTTTAAACAAGCAATGCAACATCTGGCATTCATTGTGATAAATTTCGAAGTGGTCATCACAGAAAACCACTGCACACCCATGCGACTCAGCCATGCTCAATCATGATTGCCAATCATTTCACAGTTCAGATCTAAGTGGGTCAAATAGAATCAATGCCAAATTTGGCATTCATTGTGGTAAATTTCGAAGTGGTCATCACAGAAAACCACTGCACACCCATGCGACTCAGCCATGCTCAATCATGATTGCCAATCATTTCACAGTTCAGATCTAAGTGGGTCAAATAGAATCAATGCCAAATTTGGCATTCATTGTGGTAAATTTCGAAGTGGTCATCACAGAAAACCACTGCACACCCATGCAACTCAGCCATGCTCAATCATGATTGCCAATCATTTCACAGTTCAGATCTAAGTGGGTTAAATAGAATCAATGCCAAATTTGGCATTCATTGTGGTAAATTTCGAAGTGGTCATCACAGACAACCACTGCACAACCAAGCAACCCATGTTCAATCATGATTGCCAATCATTTCACAGTTCAGATCTAAGTGGGTCAAATAGAATCAATGCCAAATTTGGCATTCATTGTGGTAAATTTCGAAGTGGTCATCACAGAAAACCACTGCAAAACCATGCAACGCACCCATGCTGAATCATGATTGCCACTCATTTCACAGTTCAGATCTAAGTGGGTCAAATAGAATCAATGCCAAATTTTGGCATTCATTGTGGTAAATTTCGAAGTGGTCATCACAGAAAGCCAATGCACACCCATGCGACGCACCCATGCTCAATCATGATTGCCAATCATTTCACAGTTCAGATCTAAGTGGGTCAAATAGAATCAATGCCAAATTTGGCATTCATTGTGGTAAATTTCGAAGTGGTCATCACAGAAAACCACTGCACACCCATGCAACTCAGCCATGCTCAATCATGATTGCCAATCATTTCACAGTTCAGATCTAAGTGGGTTAAATAGAATCAATGCCAAATTTGGCATTCATTGTGGTAAATTTCGAAGTGGTCATCGCAGAAAACCACTGCACACCCATGCAACTCAGCCATGCTCAATCATGATTGCCAATCATTTCACAGTTCAGATCTAAGTGGGTCAAATAGAATCAATGCCAAATGTGGCATTCATTGTGGTAAATTTCGAAGTGGTCATCACAGAAAACCACTGCACACCCATGCGACTCAGCCATGCTCAATCATGATTGCCAATCATTTCACAGTTCAGATCTAAGTGGGTCAAATAGAATCAATGCCAAATTTGGCATTCATTGTGGTAAATTTCGAAGTGGTCATCACAGACAACCACTGCACACCCATGCGACTCAGCCATGCTCAATCATGATTGCCAATCATTTCACAGTTCAGATCTAAGTGGGTCAAATAGAATCAATGCCAAATTTGGCATTCATTGTGGTAAATGTTGAAGGAATCATTTTAACGGTTTACCAAAGTATTTTGCCAGTGTTAAAAACATTACGACAAAAATTTTGAACACACAATTGTGTCAAACATCCACAAAATGGCGTTCACGAACACAACAGGTTCTGTTTACGACTCATCACCTTGTCAAACGAAATTTACATCGTTTGTTTCCGTTTTACGGATTTTCAAAAGTGAAAAAAATCAATGACCCCCATAGTCACAATCACCACCATCACCACATCACCACACCACCACATCACCTCATCACCTCATCACCTCATCACCTCACCACCTCATCCCCACACTCCTCGTCACCACATCACCTCATCACTTCATCACCACACCCCTGGTCACCACATCACCTCATCACTTCACCATCGTATCACCACATCCCTCGTCACCACATCACCTCATCACCTCATCACCGCATCACCTCATCACACGATGGCCATCAACACATCAACACATCACCACATCACAAGAGAGTAGAAAGTTTGTATTTTCCAAAGGTGAAGAAAGTCAATGACCACAACCACCACCATCATATCACCAAATCACCACATCATGTCATCACCACATCCCTCATCACCACATCACCTCATCACCGCGTCATCACCATGTCATCACTTCATCACCAAATCACTTCATCACCTCATCACACCATCACCTCATCACCTTCTCACCACATCACCACATCACAAGGCAGCAGAAAATCAAGAGAGTACGAAGAGAGTAGATGTGAAGAGAGTAGACAGTCAACAGTGCCATTTGCAAGGCCGGAGTTGGAGATCGCAGTCGAATTGTTTCGTGAAAGTGACGCTTTAGGACGGGTAGTTCACGCAATGGTTTCCGTTGTTTCAGTTTCCCCAAATCTATTAAACCTACAGTTGACATCCAACATGAAAAAGGCTGCCGCAAGAGTGCATCATTTTTTAAAAGGCGTGGTGCAATGTTTAGGTCAGCCCTGTATTCAGAAATCCAGACAACTAATTCTTCGTGACCTTCAATCTTTGGTCCTGTTTTGGTTGACGTCAGCATGGCATTACCTATAGACCGTTGCTCATACCATTTTACAAAGCCTTGCATCGTATCCCAACAACTATGGTTGGCATGGACGATGTCACCTTTCAATCTCTGGTCCAACAGTTGGATGATCAGTTGCAGCTTACTGCCTCCCTGACTCACAAGCATCAATCCCTGCGGCCGGGCAGGACATGGTACGTATTGCTAACCCCAATGTTCAAACCTTGGACAAGGTGCGGTCGTTACACAACAAATCCAGACGGATGTGGGTGGGTATCCTTGACCCTTCTGCATCACCAAATCGCAAGATGGATGAAGAAGGGTTCAGATGCTCTGCTACAAGGGAGGCCCTAACTGCGTCTCCAAAAAGTATGCCAATTTCAGGTGCCAAAAATGAACCCTCTGGACAAACAGAAAAATCACCCAATGTGGAAACACTTCCCCTGTACATTGCCAAATTTTGAAGCGTGCAAACGTGCAACTTTTTCAGCGTAGGAAGCAGAACCTGTATAGTTTCTTATTCACACTTCCGAAAGTTGCACGATTGCACTCTGATTTTTCTCTATTTATTTTTTGGTAACAAAAGAAGAGAAATTGACCACATTGTCATTCTATCAGAAGTGCTTTGCTTGCGACCGTATGCGCCACAATTTCTCAAATATGGGCACGTTCCCTGCAGCCCCTCCACGCAATGATTCTGCAAAGTAAGATAATCATTCTTTGCAGCTGCACACACACAGACTCTGCGAACTGCAACTAGCTGCTTCACAAAAATGTCTTCACTTTGCAGAAACTTGCACTTTGATCTTGGTTTTCGGGGGTGGCAATGGGGGGAGGCCGGGTCTGTCACGTGCACTTGAGCCAGATCTGGGGTCCAAGGTGGCGTTGGACGGCTTTTACTTCTACCTGTCACAAAGAAGGGTCTGTTTTTTGGACCTAAAAAAACAAGAAAAACTAGAGACGCAAATACGGGCCTCCCCAGTTCAAGATTCCCGCCGCGGAAGCTTGAGATTTTGCGCACATGGCAGCCTGCAAAGCTTCAGCATATCTGATAAATAAAGGGGCCAAAAACAGACCCGTCAGGAGAGACCACCTTCGATCCTGAGAGGGTCCACTTTTGGACTCCTTTTGAAATACATTTCCTTTGCGCAAGGGTCCAAAACTGAGCTCTCAGCATTCTGAATCCGGGCCCCACTCAAATACTTTCTTGCATCGTGTTGTTGAAATTTAGCTACAGTAACGTCATAGCAACCTGGAGGTGGCAACCAGGTACCTCGAACAAGGGAGGCTCCCACCGTGTCTCCAAAAAGTATGCTCATTTCAGGTGCGCACAGAAAAATCACCCGATGTGGAAACACTTCCCCTGTACATTGCCAAATTTTGAAGCGTGCAAACGTGCAACTTTTTCAGCGCAGGAAGCAGAACCTGTATAGTTTCTTATTCACATTTTTCTCTATCTATTTTTGGTTACAAAAGAAGAGAAATTATTGTTCCCTCCACACAATGATTCTGCAAAGTAAGATAATCATTCTTTGCAGCTGCACACACACAGACTCTGCGAACTGCAACTAGCTGCTTCACAAAAATGTCTTCACTTTGCAGAAACTTGCACTTTGATCTTTGTTTTCGGGGGTGGCAATGGGGGGAGGCCGGGTCTGTCACGTGCACTTGAGCCAGATCTGGGGTCCAAGGTGGCGTTGGACGGCTTTTACTTCTACCTGTCACAAAGAAGGGTCTGTTTTTTGGACCTAAAAAAACAAGAAAAACTAGAGACGCAAATACGGGCCTCCCCAGTTCAAGATTCCCGCCGCGGAAGCTGAGATTTTGCGCACATGGCAGCCTGCAAAGCTTCAGCATATCTGATAAATAAAGGGGCCAAAAACAGACCCGTCAGGAGAGACCACCTTCGATCCTGAGAGGGTCCACTTTTGGACTCCTTTTGAAATACATTTCCTTTGCGCAAGGGTCCAAAACTGAGCTCTCAGCATTCTGAATCCGGGCCCCACTCAAATACTTTCT